TATTTAGTCTTAGCAAGATCCATCCAAAATCCTTTATTGATTTTCTGTTTACATTAATTATTAATTTATAATTTTCTGTTATATTAACATTAATTCAACTAAAAAATAGGTATAATCAATCATATTAGTAAATCATTTTTATTTTATTTTTTACTTTAAGGTAATTTAATCTTATGGTAAAACTATTATCTTCACTTATCTGAAACTAATGTTTTCAAGGATTTGTATTTGCTTGCTATTAAATATTTTCATGAATAATATGTTAAAGTAGATGTATCTTGTTTCTTTACAACATATTGAGTTGTTATATTTATTTGATATACTTTTCTAATTTTGTATCGTTGCTTCACAATATAAAATATGAATAACAGATTTGAAATATGGAACATTCATGTACTGTTTCATGCAAGAAACTATTTTATTCAAACATGATTGGTTTATACATTCTATAGACTTAAGATTTTTAAAATAGCTAAATAAATCAAAATTTATATACAAAAAAATTTTCTGAATATAAAATAAAGAAGCTTAATATCATTAATAAACAATGTTTGTAAGTACAAGTTAGAAAATATTTAAAGGATTAATAAATTATTATAAATTTTAAAATTATTAAATAAATTATTGATCTTTCATATAAATAAATAAATAAAAAATTGGTAAATAAATTGCATGTGTAAACATTATCAATGGTTTTGCAATATTTTATAATGCTATATTAACATCTTTTATCAAAAATAAACAATAATTTAATCTTTATTTCAAGTGAAATGTGATAAGATGTCTGTTGGAGGTGTGTCACTTTACGTCAGAAAGTTTTCTTCTACGCCGCAATGAATAGAAATAAATTTAAGTATTTAAATAAGTAAGGCATTAAATGCGTCATGCATCTCATATTTACTGGTTTGCGCATGTTTGACATGTTTAAACGTACCAATCTGTAAACGAATATATAATTGCAAACAAACACGAGTCTCAAATTACAAATACTAATGTGAATTGTTTCGAATTGAAAATGTTCTTAGTAGTCTGTTTAGTCACTAAATAATTTTAAAAAAGCATCAAAAGTAAAATTTTCTTTTAGAGTTTTAATAAACATTACAAATTTTAAGAAAGAGCAGATAATTCAATCTTTTGAAGAAGGAGAATAACGCAGATTAAAAGGCATATTAATAGAATGCTACGTAGAAGAATTAAATTTATCCTGTCACCTTGTCAGGGTGGCAAAAATGTTATTTGGGTTTCTTAATATAATTGTTGATATTAAATTCATAATACAAATTAATATTGATTCATTTATTACTATTATTATTCATCCATTAAAGTAGTGTAATTATAAGTGAAAATTATTATTTCAAAAAATATTTGCCGATTGAAACAAGCATTGTTTATTAAGTTTTGCCATTTATAAAATAAAACAAAAAAAATGAAGGATGTGAGAGTCATTCAAGTGAGCCGCAATATGAGTAAATATTGTATAAAGACGAGGTGGCGTGATCCTATCGATTGTGGTTGCTAGATATACTATCGATACCGAAGGCAGGTACTAGCCGCGTACACAACTGAGTCTCGCCAGTTCACCGGCTACCCTGAGCGGGGATGGTTTCCACGTGGTCAGCTGTGCGTCTCGAGCCCTTGATCGTGCTGTTTCTGTCGCTCTCGGCGTGGGCTCGACAGAACTTCACTTCAGGCATCGTGGAATGTTCTCTCCGTCAGTTCAGGTGCGACAACGGTCGGTGTATTCAACAGGTATGGGTTTGCGACTCGGAAGACGATTGTGGTGATAATTCAGATGAAAATCCTGCCCGATGCAAAGCTGTAGAATCTTGTAAGGAAAATGAATTTCGATGTAACAATGGAAGGTGTATACCGAAATCGTGGAAGTGTGACCGAGAACAAGACTGTCAAGACGGAAGTGATGAAGGTGAAGAGTGCGCCAAATCTGAATGCAGAGCCGATCATTTCGAGTGCCGTCCCGGAGTGTGTATACCGAGTTCATGGGAATGCGATGGTCAGGTAGATTGTGATAATGGTGAAGATGAGAAAAGATGTGCTGAAACTTGTTCACCTGATTCCTTTACCTGTAAAAATGGCAATTGCATTCCGATGGACAATGTTTGTGACATGGATGACGATTGTGGTGATGGTTCTGATGAGAAAAACTGCCCTCCGAGATCTTGCCAAAAAGGTGATTTTCAATGCCATGATCGTTCCTGCATAATATCTAAATGGAGATGTGATGGCGATTACGACTGCCCTGACATGTCAGACGAAAAGAATTGTCCCCGTGCAATTTCTCCATCTTCAGTGTGCCTTAATAAAGAGTTCCAGTGCTCGGACAAATTGACATGTATCCATTCTAGCTGGGTCTGCGACGGAGAATCGGACTGTCCAGACGGAGCTGATGAAAGCACCTCCCTCTGTGCTAATGTCACTTGCCGTCCGGATCAGTTCCGATGCAACAACAATTTCTGCATAGCACACCACCTTCGTTGCAATGGACAAGTAGACTGTTCTGATGGAAGTGATGAAGAAAATTGTGACAATCCATCTTCTTTTTGTAAACCAGGCGAATTTATTTGTGGCGATGATACTTGTATACCAATGTCAGATGTTTGTGACGGCACTAATGATTGCCCTGATGGTGAAGATGAACCTGCTGGCAAGTGTGGTGTTAATGAATGCACAATAAACAACGGGGGCTGTGATCACTTATGCATAGATACTCCAATAGGCTTTCATTGCGCCTGTCACAAAGGATATAAATTAGTTAATAATTCCACATGTGTTGATATTAATGAATGTGACACATTTGGCTCATGTTCACAGCTATGCATGAACGAAAAAGGAACATTTAATTGTAAATGTCACGATGGTTATGAGAGAGATCCCGAAAATCCTACTTCATGTAAAGCGAAAGGAGACTCAGTACTTTTATTCTCTCGGCGACATAGCATTCAAAAAGTGAGTATTCCTAATCATGAATCCTCAAGTATTGTTTTTGATACAAAAGCCGCCACAGCGTTCGATTTTCACTACAAAAATGAAACTATATTTTGGTCTGATTCTATCGAAAAGAAAATTTTAAAAACTTCTCTCAATGACGGTAAAGTACACACGGAAGTAATTAAAGATAGCATAGGTTTATGCGATGGATTGGCTGTTGATTGGATCTATGGGCACATATATTGGACGGATACAGGAAAAAACACGATAGAATTGGCTAATTATAAGGGAGAAATGAGAAAGACCTTGATTAATAACAGCCTGGACGAGCCCCGCTCGATTGCCTTGAATCCACTGGACGGCTGGATGTTCTGGAGTGACTGGGGCAAGCAAGGTCGTATCGAAAGAGCAGGGTTGGATGGTTCACATCGGCAAGTTATCATCTCGCAGGACATCAAGTGGCCCAACGGCATAACTTTGGATTTGGTGAATCGACGTCTTATCTGGGTGGATGCAAAACTAAGTTCGATTTCTTCATGTAATTATGATGGCTCTGACAGGACTTTAATTTTACGTTCTGCGGACACTTTACATCACCCATTTTCCATTTCAGTCTTCGAGGATTATGTCTATTGGTCTGATTGGGACACACAAGCTATTTTCAGAGCAAACAAGTTTAAAGGTTCCAACGTTTCTGCGATAACTGACTCTAGAATGCTCCAGAATCCGATGGTAGTACATGTCTATCATCCTTACAAACAACCTGTTGGAGTCAACCACTGCCAAAAAGCCTACGATAAATGTTCACACTTGTGTTTACCATCACCGCAGATCAATGAAGCTTCCCTTAGGTTTACATGTGCTTGTCCGGACGGATTACACTTGTCCAAGGATGGGCATAAGTGTACAGAAAAGAAAAATGAGGAGGAAATCGGTAGAGATGAATATCAGATCCATAACCGTTCAAATACTATAGAAATTGTTTTCAATGATGTTCGACCTAATGCTAATGAAAATAATAGTGATATTGTTGCTATAATTATTATTTCTAGCGCTGTTGTGTTTTTAATTTCACTTTCTCTAATTGCAATCGTCATTTGCCGTTATTATCTGAACAGAAATGTTACCATTCACTTCGAACAGCCATTATTCCAAAAATGTATAGACGATGAGCTGATGAAGAATCATTATCAGACACAGGGGACGCGGCAGGAAGTCACCAAGGAAGAAGCATGTGTTCCCCTGACGAGCCCGGGATCATACGATATTGTTTGAACAATCATCATTGTCTGCATGGCAGCCAATTGAAATCAAAATCGTCGAATTATCTTCGATGCCGTTCTTGTCATCATAAGATAGTTAATTGGCGTATCGATTTTTACGGCCTTAACTATTTGTACCAAAGCAGTGTTACGTGAAGAAAGTATTAGTGGTATGTTTTAATACGCACTGTGTAAACGCAACAGTATTTATGTGGATATTATGTTGTTATGAATGAAATGTTGATTTGAAAATGTTTCTAGTATTTGGACTGAAATTAATATTAAATTATTTTTGTACGTTATTTATTTTGTAAAATAAAAACTATTTATTCAATTTTTGTAAGATACCATGACTTAATAAGTTTAAAATAAAAAAAGAATAAAATTAAAGATGTGTTTTTATAACAATTTTCCTGTTTCTTTTTATTATTATATTAATCCTATGTATAGTTAGTTGATTATTTTGACTGAAAGTTAATTAAAAATATAAATAAATAAAAAATAAAGTTTTAACTGTTATTAAACCATATTTGGTATAATTTTTAAAGTAATTATGTTATAAAACAGTATTTAATTTCCTTTTAGTTCATATATAATGAATGTTTGAGCTATTATAAGATAAAGGAATGTAGCAAAACACATTCTAATAGAGTAAATGATTGGTAGAACCAGTTTTAAACTCTCAGCCAGTATAGAAAATTGAACACAACCTTGAATTAGTTATTCCATCACCGTTTTAGAACATCACCTGATGTATGACGTCACCAACGGGCGCGCCCGCCTTTCTTTATCTTCGTTATCAATGGGGTGATGTGGTTACGCAATCTGTTATGGCTGATGTGGAATTTTTCTATTACTAGTCTGAGCTATCACCCCATGTTCATTCCATTGAGGTTCAATAATACCAATGGAATGCATGAAATTTCTTAGAATGATAATATACTGCCACATCCTGGTCATAATTTTTTAAAAGAAATACTGAGGATATTTGTTAAGCATTTTGTTTCAACAGGTAATATTTACTTTTTGGGCATTGTTGTCGCTTTTTTGAGGTTTGTTTATTCATCTTGTAAATCACATTAAGAGTGGTGGTACTCATACCTTAACATTGTTTATTATTATCACTCCTATGTTATTTTATCATGTTCAAAATTTTTATGGCAGTATTTTTCTGTTAATCACACATATTTTGTCTTTAATTTGACATGGGATTTTTTTTTTTGTATATTGAATTTCATTATATAATTTTATGATCTTGGTTATATGCTAACAATTTTCAGTACATATCTCTTTATGTTCTATAAAATGAAATAACCTAAGACATCCTCTTGACAGAAATTGGCATTAAAGCGATTACTTCCAAGGTGATAAGTAAATGTGAGTTCACTTTAGTGGTTATTATCTATTCTACTGTTTTAGGAAAATAGTTTTGATTTTTTAAAGATTCACTTGGTTGTGAACTTAGATATTCAAAACTTAATTTATGGACCGATTCATTTCTTTCTAATCAATCAAAAGTTTAACAAAATCCTTTATGTCTTTAAATCCCTCTTTATATGTCTCTTTTTCCATCACCTTAAATGTCACTGATTTTATTTGATACTATGTTTTTGTTTATAGTATATAGTATTTACCTCTTTAATCTCCTCTTGATATCTTTATATGTAATATTATTCCTGATTTTAACTCAATTCTGTTGTGTATTAGACGTAACTTCTTCAACTTGTTAAAGATTGTATTTTAGTTTTGTCATATTACCTTATCTAATTCCACAACATTTATTCCTTTATTATTTTTCTTAACCCTGAAGATGTTATTAATGGGCTGAAATGCTGGCACATATAAATAAATATGCATTGTGTTTTATATTTGTGAATGCATGTTGTAACAATCATTTTGAAGAATTTACCAACAGTCCACTGTTTATCTTAAATTATTAAAAGTGTAATTGTTTGAGAAAATTAAGGATTTTATCATTATTTTTTTTGTACAATTCATTCAGTAGGTTTATTCAGGTAAATCTGAATGCCGCCACTTAAAATTGTGCTTTGTAATGAATGTATATTTATTTATTTTTCAAAACAGTAATATCTATGGCTTCATAAACAATGTGTTTAAAAACAAATGGTTCACATGAACTACACAATGCCCTGGTTCTCCTCGCATTGAAAAGCAGAATGGATATCTGACATACTGTATTGGTAAACTTATACATACTTTGCTTTTTAGAATTATGGGAATCAAATCATAGTAGCTTTCATTTAACATTCCTAAAGGTCTATTATACTTAATCCACTAGTACTCCACAAGTATTTAATTGATTAGAACTATGATATATGATTCTGTATTGAAACATATTCTAGTAAATATTGAATTCTTATTTCAAGTTATTGAGCATAGACGAAGATAGACTGTCATAAAAGTATCACCATATATTGGTCAAATTTATGGATTACACCATTCAAAAGTACTGTATACAATGAACTCCTTAAAATTGGTTTAAATAACATGTTGAAAGTTGAAACAACATTAAGGAAATTTGTCTTTAATTTAAAAAAGAATAATTACAGTAGTAAAAATAAAATATATAATAGCCTCTATAAATACAAAAGTATAATACCATTCGTTTATTAAATGAAACATTTTTTTTGGTAAATGCATCATATATTTTCTTAAAACACAGTTTACTTATAATTCCTGATACGGAAAAAAAAAACAACTTCAACTCTCATTGAAGTGATGATTTCCGGGCTCAGGAATTCCAAGAATTAAATATTTTCAAGATTAAAAATTTGATGACACACTGGAATATTATTTTGCTTAAGTTTAGATCTCCTCTTTCTTAGTTACTCTTATTACTGATGAGCACAGTTGATAAGTATTTTATTTGTAAGCTCCCGACTATCAAAGAGAGGAATGTGTTAACTAATAATGCATACCATAGGCAGATCATAATACCTGTGTCCTTAATTTCTAAAAAATTTTGGCACCCATCCTCAAATAAGTACTTACTCTTTAATTATAAAAGAGTTTATTCAAAAAATTTCTTATAAAAATACTTTGAATATATTATAAAATCAATCAACACCCTCTACAAATAAAGAAACAAATTAAATAATCATATACTTCCTTAAATATTCATATAAACAAGACATATCAAATCTATTTAGCCTCAAGCAAGTGTAAAACAAAACTATTCTCCTAGGGACTATGCTATAACAAAATTGATACTTTAACCTATTTTATTATAAAATATACAATTTCCACCATCTTAGATCCATATTTCTTTCCTCACAACTGTCTCCAAACAATCAGGTTTATATCGCAGAAGACTCCTTCAGAATCAGATGATGTTTTGGATAAAATACTCGTTTTTACAAAAGTTGCTTGCCTTGAGAGGTCCTAGCCTTAGGCTAGTTTAGTTAGTACTCAGAATAAGTTAGTTTTGTTTTTGTATAAATAATTTGCTTGAAGTGAAATTTATTCTTTATTAATGATGTGTATAAACAACTCATATCTTATATTTTTATGAATTATTTTCTTAAGAATCAGGGCTATATACCCTTGTTAAAGTCGAAGTTTTTTAGCAATAAATAATTATTATAGTAAATCCAGTAGGATTGAACAGAAATAAAAAAGTATTGAATTTCTTAAAATGCCAAGGTCTCAGCTATTAAAATAAAATTATTTGAAAACTATAATGACTAAGAAGTTAAAATATTACAGCTGTCATTCTTTTTTCCTAGTTTAATTAATTGTTTAATGTTAATGGGCAAATTGCACATCATCAAAAACATTTCAATCATAAACAAATAATTGGTCAACAAGCTTATTATTTTATATATTCATAATTCTTTTCTGATACATTATATTTCTGCTTAAACTTTATTATTTAAGGATTTTATTTAACAAAATAATATTTTATTTTTACAATATTAATTTATAATACAATTTATTTTTATATAATTGAGTGTCATTATTTGAAACTAACTGCTACAATACTTGGTAAAACAATACCAATCTATTTCATAGCCAAGAATAGGAATTTAACTTCACTATACTTGCTATACTAATTACTGGAACTGGATACATTTAGCTGAACTTGAACTCATAACCCTATATACGACGCAAAACATCAATTATGGCTTCTACACAGATGGCAGCAAGGACTACAATTAAGTCGGATGTCAATAATTATTAAGTGTTATTGGAAAATAGCTTCTTGTCTAACATAGTTTTAACTGTGGTTTCAGTCTACGGGCAGACAAGAATATAGTTATGAATGCATAAAAAATTAAAAATGAAAATTATACAGTAGGTTGATTGATAATATTAGTTTACAACAGTAAAAGATTGAATCATATATAAATGATGATCTATCAACTCTTGTCGATATTTTGAGTTATTTTATCATCTGGACAGATATCTGAACTATAGGATATTGAATTAATAATAGAATTATTTTTAACAAAGAGCAATTTTTTTTTCCAGTAATTGGTCCTAATAATTTGCTTATGAAAATTATATAAAACAAGGAAACTGGCTTGTCATACTTTATAATCTATTACTTGGAATTTTGAATTATTTTAAAACTTCATATCATGATTATTTGATGCATAAGCAGATATTTGTGTGTGTGATAAGTTCATTAAGTTGCTGGTCATTGATTTTATTGTGCTTTGCCAATATTTACTTTCATATCTGAAGTTTGATAAAGTTGTAATATATATAATAAATTGATTTAACATTTGCCTGTTGTAAGTTATATACTATTGCTATATAGGTAATGTAGCAGTCAATTACATAATTTTAATCTTATTATTTAATGTATTGTTCTGTCGTATTTTAATTTAACTATGTTCATATACCCACGTTTCATTGTCTGTTGCTATAATCACTGGTTTAATATTTACTAATTTATTTTAGGATGAATTATAAAAACTTTCATCAACTTGGTACTCGCCTAGTCCGCTTGTATTCAAGTAATAAGTTCCTTACTAAAGATCTTTATCCAGATGTTAAACGTGGCGATTTTACTAAACTGACATCAGGGCATTTGCAAATATTTGAGCGTTTGCTTGGTAAAGAAAGAGTTCTAACTGACAAAGATGATCTCGCAAGTTATAATATGGATTGGCTAAAAATGGTTTGTGGTAAGTTTTTATTTTTTTTTGTATTTTCGTTAAAAAACAAGTTGGGGTAAGTAGGAAATCAATAAAATAAATAATTGAAAGAAAAATATATTATAAAACTATTGGTTACCTCATTTACAACATTGATATTGGTAAAAACTTGCATCTCATTGCTTGGTAACAATAGTTAAGGATATATTTTTAATGGTTGATTCATTTCAAAGACATTCTGTAGTCGTTTGATACAGTTTTTACACCTTAAGGGAGAAACAAATAAGGAAGAAAAAAAAACACATTCTGTGCGATTATTTAATTCTGTAGCTCTTGTTAATTTAAACCATTGACCCAATCAGGTATAGCCCTGACCCGACAATAAGCATCAACTACTTAGGTAAATGACTATTTATTGGGTCTTCTAATAAAAATTAGTTAATCTTAAATGAAACCAGTAGTTAATGTTAAATTGTTATTGCTTAAATCTTAAATTATTTAATTTAAGATTAAATTAATAATAATTAATTAAAATTACTTAAATTAGTTTATCTTCAATATTTTATATGCATTGTTTAAATATATTTATCCATTAATCTGATTTATATATTATTTATATCTTTATGGTTGGTGTTGAAAGTTTTTTTTGTTTCAAGGCTATAGTGAGGTTGTACTTAAGCCTAAAACTACTGAAGAAGTTTCTGAAATAATGAAGATTTGCTTCAAAGAACATCTTGCGGTGTGTCCTCAGGGTGGTAACACTGGTCTTGTTGGTGGTTCTGTTCCTGTATTTGATGAAGTTATTGTATCACTATCATTAATGAATAAAATTCATAACATTGATGAAACAACTGGTTGGTAGCTTTCAATAATTCTTTAATATAAAGTAAGAATCTTCATACATTAGTTCTTAAGATTTTTTTTAAGGTTATTTTCTCCAGATACAAAAAACAAGTACATCCCTTATAAAATTTTGAAAAAAAATCTATGAAGAAATGAAATTTTACTTCTGAATAACAAATTGTATATAGTTTTGGCTTGTTATAATTCTTTTCAATACTTTTAATAAATTAAGAAATGGACAAGTGTCTACCATTAAGTCTTCTAAGAGATTTTTTATATATTTTTCAGATGAAAAATGACAAAATGTTTTAAAATCAGATTGTGGTCCCTGAAGATGCATGAAAAAGGGAAAATTTGGATAATTTTATAATAAATTATTTTATTAATTGAGACTACAAAGCCCTAAATTGTTATTATTCCTGTTTTCCTCATTAACTAATAGATTTACTTTAATTTTTTGCAAGCATGGAATTGAAATCAATGTTGAATTACTTTAGATACTGTTAGCAATGAAAAGTAAAACCTAATTTATTATTTTTCTTTTTTAAGAATATTTTAAGTTTTTATCTCATTAAAAAAATTTATTTATTGTGAATTAGACATTCATATGAAAACATGATAATAGAATTTAGACTCTTAAACAGGAATGGTGACCTGCGATGCTGGCTGTGTACTTGAGCGACTTGATAATGAAGCTGCCAAGAAAGGTTTGATGATGCCTTTAGACCTGGGAGCGAAGGGTACCTGTCAAATAGGAGGCAACATCGCAACTTGTGCTGGTGGCCTTCGCCTCATAAGGTATGGCTCCATGGCTGCCAACCTTCTCGGCCTAGAAGTAGCAAGTATTTATTTATACTAATACATGATTAAAAAACTCTTATTGATCATTTTATTATTTTAATATTTAGTCTTTCTTAAATAACTATATAAAAAAAATTTCAATTTATTCGGGTTTCCAGCAGCCTTTAATTTAGTTCGTGATAAAGACCACATTTTATGAAATTATTAACATACGTCTAAAACTTATTGAAAGCTTCATCTTATCGTAACCTACAACATAGAAATTTTCTCTGAAATGGGACGTTTTCAATCTTGATTTTGTCAGTTTAATGAGGAAATAAAAACTCATGAACACCCATTTGCTTTTCACTTGAATCCTAAGTTAATTTGATTTCAACGTAAAAATATTGGGCCATTTGGCGTGACCACCCCCCACATATCTAAATAATGAGGTTATATAAGCCAAATGGCCCGATATTTTTGTAGGCCACTTTTTTTCTCAAAATGCTGATCAAATTATCTTACAATTCAAGTGGAAAGCAAATAGGTATTTATGAATATTTAGTACCTCATCAAATTAATTAATTTAATTAGAAATCATCCCACTCCTGAGAATTTTTGTAGATAAGTTGTAGGTTTTGGTAAGATGAAGCCATTCATGAAGTTATTGATGAATGTTAATAATTGAATAAAACGGGGTCTGTACCATAGACTATTCTTCAAGATCGAGAAATCTGCTTCAATTTTTTGTCAGGAAAAATTTTGGAATTATGCTTGAAAATAGCGAGTCATTAGGAATTGTTAGGTTTTAGTTGTAAGACCATTTTAAACAGTGAAATTAAGTATTTTGGTTTTTAGTTGTCAGGAGAGATTACCACAGATATTATAGACCATTTAACATGATTATGTTTCTTTAACAAAGCAAAATTGTAGTTTACAAATACAACATATTTTTCTACTTGGTGTACCAGGAAAGTAACCTTTTCTCTCAACTATTGAAAGAAGTTAGTCGACTGTTCTACATATTATGGGTGATAAATAATCAGGGTGTAGTCTTTTTTTTTTTAATTTTTTATTTATGCCAACGTTTTAACCGAAACATGTGGGTCATCTTCAGGGCGTGGTTTGAGCACTGAGGGTGTTCAAGTACTCAAGAGGGTTTTGAAGTACAAAGAGTACTTGAACACCCTCAGTGCTCAAACCACGCCCTGAAGATGACCCACATGTTTGGGTTGAAACATTGGCATGAATAAAAAAAAAAAAAAAAAAAAAATACTGTGCCTTGATTATTTATCACCCACCTATCTCTCAACTTTACTTTGAGCATTGTTTGTTATTTGTGTTAAATAATTAACGAATGAATTACTATTTTCATTAATATGACTATATGAGCTATGTAATAATTAGTTGTATGGGGTGTGTAATCCGATAAATAATGGAAAATATTCAAAGAAGTGACAATAAACTTCAAGAGCAACAAAGTTTACACAAGAAATATAGTGTCTTACAGATATGGTCTGTTTCTTATTAAATCAATCAACTTTAAAACAGTCATAGACCCACCGTGACATTTTTACAATTATAAGAATATTTAAAAATTTATTGCTGTCATTCTGACAAATAGCACAACAGAAAAATGGATAAAAAACATTTTTTGAATACTAATATATTTTTTGAACACGAGGAGCATTGCTATGTTGTTAACAAATGTCAAAGATATGGAATAAATTTGGTCCTGCGTCCTAATGAAGCCTTTAGATGGTTGAATTTCATTCAAGAAACTGGTAACCTTCTAAAAGGGCATTATAATTTCATTTTCTTTTAATATTTGGCAACAAGTTTATAAAGTAGTTGTTGCTCTTATGAATAAATAAAACAATAATAATTAATTGAAATAATATATTATTTATATATATACATATATATTATCATTTCTGAGAAATAATAATTTACATTGAATATAATACAGTTGCAGATTTCATTCTAGATAAATCAGTTTTTATTTAAAATATTCTTTTATTATTTAACTGCTTTCTTTAACATAACCTTGTTTTGGAAACAAGTTAATACATGAAAACTGATTCAAAATAAAGAGTTAACTCAAATCAAATTTATAAAATGTATTTTATAAATATGTTTATTCTTTTTTTACCAATTCGTTTCTCTTTAACTAACTCAATTTTATATGTTCATATTAATTATTATAGGTTCTGGCCAATGGTGAGGTTTTGTCCATGATGAACCATATGAAGAAAGATAATACTGGTTATCATCTAAAGCAGGTAGGTAATAATATACCCAAATTTGAAGTTCATTAAGTTCCATATTAGATTTCTAATTTCTAATAATTAGATAATAATAATTTCTAATTGAGATATCTAATTTACCATAGAGTTAATCAGTTGCTGAACATTATAAAAATATAATGAAATTACAAAGTATTAATGAAAATGAAATTTAAATGATATCTATTCCATGAATAAATTATCTACTTAATAATAATTTATTCTAGAAATAAATTATTCATTCATCAAATAGTCTATAAAATTAAAGTTATGGTTTTTGAGAATTATTTCTGGTTGGCCATGAGAAACCTAATTACTTTGACAACTAGCAACGTATTATTGACTTATACAATAAATCTTGTCTTTGATGCTTTGTTTTTTGTTTAAACTACGTGAAATGTCATAGTTATTATAATTTACCATTTAATTGTCGTATATGTATCTGCAATAGCATTTTTATTTCATATGTCATAACACTAAATTGTTAGATGTATCTAAATTTAGAATTTGCTGAGTTTCATTGACCTTTAATGGATTAAAGCTAATCTTATTTTTTGTTTTTCTCCTTCACTTCTTTTGTTTGGTAGGATTTTATATTGGTGTTTTACTGTTTCAGTAATCCAATATTCTTATTTTTCTTAAAAGAACATCGATATACATTTTCTTATAATTTTAGTTTTTTAATTGTATCTACATAAATGTTGCTGAGATTCATGGTGTTTTAAAATTTATCATTTCTTTTATATTTTTAGGATATTGTCTCAAGTCTTTTTCTATTGCTGTTGATTATTATTTTAGGGTTTTTAAAATCAAGTTTATGGTTTAATCTTATGCTGTGTTGAATCCAAAGCAGTGAATTTCCTATTCCCTTTCTCCAATCTTTTTTTCTCTCTCGAGTTTTGAGAACTTTGTAATGAAACTTGATAAATCTTAATTATGGTGAATGAATTTTCTGTTGGCAGTAAAATCGAAATTGTTTCCGCTATTAGTTCTTTTTTAGCACACTTAATTCTATAATTTCTGATCGAAAGATATATTATCAATGATGTATTCTCATAGAAAATGATTTTGTATTTGTAATTTTTCCAATCCAATTCAACAAAAACCACAATAAGCTATTCTTTTTATCTCCAATTATCTTTAAAATGAGACGATGTGCCCTTGAAAATTTTAATTTAGATCTATTTAGTTGTTTTTGCCACAAAAAAAAAATTCCTGACAGCAGTTAATAAATTATTTCCATAGAATCATTAAAAATATTATTGTTATTGTTTATTAAGTTTTAAATAAAGTGTGGCTAGTTCATAAAATGATATATTTTTAAAAATATTGAGAGAGATCAAACTTCATAACTTTTATTCATATACATGAAAGGCATTTTGGGCACCACCTTTCTCATTTTCAAGTCTAGTATCATTACATAAATTCATCTAAAAAATATATGAAAAATCTCTCAGAGGACTGCAAGGCTCATATTCTCTTTGTTGAAATGCCTGAACCAAAGTGTGGCAGTATTTCGATGAATAACTGACTCTCCTTCTATTGTACAAATTTCTTCAGCAGTTTCCTTTGAGTTTTGATCTTTTTTCCAGTAATGTCTTAAATGAATACGAATCACGATTTTTTCTTCTGACATTGCACATGTGTTTAAAAAATGTAAATTACCCCATAATACAACTCAAGTCACAAGGAATTAAAGGATTTGTCAAATTAAATATTGACATAAATAGTTGGAACAAAAACATCATTATAGGATTGATTATGAAAGTTGGAATCAGAGGTTGTGTTCATGCTCCAGAACTTTTGTAACTAATGTCTTCACCATAACTAAGGCTTACCAATTTTCATTTTTTATTCTCAAAATAAAAAAAATTAGGGTTTGCGATGACCAGGGAGTTTGAAATTGCTGTCTTTGCAATTTACTTTGTGATTTATGTATATCTGGATGATATTTTATCCTTCATTTTCAATGAATGATTTTGTATTTTATTATTCTTATAAAGACCTAATATAATATTTGGAAGGTCTCAATTTTTAAATTTTAAAGGATCTGTGAGACTTGGTATGTAATAGATGAACAATGTTCACTAGATTTCTTTTTAAATGTTTTGCAGCTGTTTATTGGCTCTGAGGGTACCCTGGGAATTATTACAGGAGCTGTAGTTCAGTGCCCACCGAGGCCAAAGTCGGTGACCTTAGCTTTCTTAGGTAAGTGAAGTGCTGGCTTATTGGAATTTTTGTTTGTGTCTGTCCCCGGATGTATTTGGGATTGGGTTCTTTTGTTCTATTTTGTTTTAATAAGTTTTTTTATGATTATTGATTGTACCAATTAATTAATCTTTATTTTAGGCCTTCAAAGCTATGAAGACGTTCTTAAGACATACAGACTGGCAAAATCTCTCCTGAGTGAGACCTTATCATCATGTGAAATGATGGATTCAAGATCCATGGAGTCTGTTGAGAGGATTGGTCTTGCTTGCCCAATAAATAAGAACAAGTAATACCCTATCAATTACTTATAATATTATATCTTTTTCTTTTTTTCCCTAAAATAATAGACTTTGCACTATATCGAAGGTCATTGGATGTAGAAGTGCATTTTAAATTTGTTTTATCAGAACAGTTTTGAGGGTTTTATAGACGTCTGATATGTACATTACCTCTCTTTCTCCCTCCCCACCCATTAGATACATTAGGGCCACTTTTACTGCTCCTTTTGAATCATAAGAGCTGAAATTCGTTATGTATGGTAGTTTTTTTGGGCAGAACTTATGTTAAAAGTGGGGGTAAATTTCAATCAAAATTTTGGTATTTTCAATTTTTTTTTAAATTTTGTGGATCTTTTCAGGGCCTCCTAACTAAACATACTATTTCGCTAATACTGCCCACCACAACAGATAGCAGTGACTGCTACATACTCTGTGACAAATCCTCATACCTCAAACATCGTATGCTTGTTCATAAACAATTCGTACTATTGTAGATTAAATGTTATTTTATCTTAGACAAATTAGTTCAAATCATTACTTATTTGTTCAATTCATATATCTTTAAGCCTTTTTACATTTTTTTTTTTTTTTTAAGGTGATGGGTCAAGTGTAAAATGAGGTTAATTTACGGTATGAAGTAAGTTTAATAAAACATTTATAAAAGTGCATATTTTTTATAAACTATTGGGAAACTTTCTATAAAAATTAAAATAGCAAAATAAACTTTTTAAAGGATTCAATATTCCTATCATTATTAAAAATGGAAGGTCAAAATTAGGTAGAATATTATTGAAATTAATAAATCACTTTTTAAAAATGACTAACAAACATTTAAAAATCATTATTTCTTTTTACTCAACTATGTGATGCGACACGAGGGTTATGTGTTGGGTTGATTTTGTTTGATTTTTAAGTTTTATGGCTATAATTTTTCAGTGATCAATTAAGTGTTTTGAAATAATTTTAACTAAAACACTGACCTGTTATTGAATAAAATGTGTTTAATCAATTTGCTGAAAGATACGTAACAGTTTTTTGAGTGAACGGCTGGATCAATTTGTAAATTTGATGGCTTAAATTATTTGATAAGATCCCAAGAGTGTTTTGAAACAACTTGAGCTAAAAAGTCTGACTCGTTATTCAATTAAATGTGTTTGATCGATTCGCTAAAAGTTATTTAACAATTTATTGAGCAAACAGCTGAATCGATATTTATGTAATCAGAAAGCTGATTTACTAATTATATTAAGGTAACTTGTTTTCTGTTGTGATTTCATTGCTAATATATGTAATATTTATTTTTAAAATGATTGTACTAATAATAAATAATAAATTTACAATCAGAAATTTACCTTTTATTCTTAAAATAATATGTTGTCATATCAATTCTATTACGAGGCTTGTGTTTTCTAGTTATAAGAAACCATCACTTTGTAGAAGGTGGGTATTAATATATAGTTTTTAGAAAGATAATAGTTAATATTTTACAATACTTGCATATCCTAAACTTACTCAACCCTAAGGAAAAAAAAACAAAGAACCTGTACCACTACAACGTATGAAGGCTCTTGTGTTCAGTATGATGTAGAAAAGGTGCTGTTTCTTGCTCAACGGCTGTGCAAGGAGGTGATTTGACAGAGTTCACACTCAAACACCAGGTTTTCCTCCTTAATCAATTATTCAATTAAAGGCAACCACTGTATAGAAGCTGGGTGTGTGCCAGGATGGTTCTCGACCCCAGGGTCTATCCACGGCTGATGAAACAGAATAAATAATTTATCTGCCATAAGACGGGTTCGAACTTGAGACCTTGAGCATTGAAAGCTCAGCGCCCTACCACTAAGCTATCCCACTCCGTATTCAACCCTTAATGATTGAATTGATCTTTATTTAATGATTGATTCAAATGACAGACAAAATAGCCTGTATAATTAAATAAGATCAAAACCATGCCATCATATGTATTTCTGGCCTTGTGATACAAATCATTCCATTACATTTAAGCCTAATGTTTTCTTTTAAAAATGTTTTAAAGTTAGATATTTATTGCAATAGAAGTTGGCCGCTATGGTGAAAAGTTTCAGCTAAATATTCCAGGATTAATGGTAGCCAGTACCAGGGAAATAGTATCTTAAGTTAAGAGATTGAAAATTTGTGTGTGGATTGAGTTGGGGTACTAACATTTTTCATTACCTCCTGCCATTTTGATACATTCAATTTTACAGTTTTTCCTACAACATATTCTGTCATTATTAATCTTATCAAGATAATTTAAACAACAGAAATCATTTCAATGTTCAAAACAAGTTGTGTTACTCATTTCCTTTAACACATGCTAGTATATCTATGCAACACATGTTAGTGTTGATTGATTTGGCTTGATAGTTGATGACTGTGCTCTTGTGCGCTGGACAACAGGAGCGGTCCAATTAAAATTTCTTGCATTAGAATGTGTCCCCTTGTATTATCGCAATGTGATATATTTTTATAATAATAAATATTCGAAAATTTATAAATTCAAACTTTTATTAATTCAGTATTAAATGAATTACCTGTATTTAAGAACTATTTAAAATTATTTTATTTCATAGCTACTAAATTTTTGATATCCAATATTTACTTCATTGCAGATTCTATATGGTGATAGAAACCCACGGTTCCAACAGCAGTCATGATGAAGAGAAGATGTCCAATTTTGTGGCAGAGGCAATGGATGACGGGGCTGTAGTTGATGGTACTTACTCCTCTCAACCATCCACAATGCATGTAATGTATCAGTCTGTGTTCATCGAAAATTCTTAATTTTCACTTCATTGACAATAAAAACTGAAATTGATTAAGAAATGAAAATATTTGAAAGTAAGATTCTCCATTGGATGGATTAGTATGTTTTCATAAGGGCTATAAAAATAAGAATAAATAAAGAGTGTCAAGTTACAAAATCTATTTTGCTTTACAATATTTTATATTTCTTAACTTTTTACAGTTTTATTTAATATAATATTTATTTTATTTTATAAATATTTTATTTATAGAACCTTTGGCAGTTACGAGAGAGGATCACTGAATCACTCACCCGCTTCAACTATATTTATAAGTACGATATTTCACTGCCATTGGAACACTTTTATGAAGCTGTTATTGCTACTCGTAAGCACTTGGAAGAAAAAGGATTTAAAGATATCCAAATTTCGGGTTTCGGCCATATTGGTGAGAATGTTGATTATATTTATTACAATATTTATGAGTGTGGATTGAATAGTATCCCCTCAAATAGAATCCCCTCTCCTCTCCTTTGATTTTCCTATTTTCTACATTGTTTTACAGAAAGATTGGCTGTTTACATACGATTCATTTGATTTGGTCTAATACAGTACAGTCTAAAATAATACATAATGTGGACAATTCTCTTTGTTTACATTCAGAAGTAAATGAAAGAGGCTCCTCTCCATTATTGAATATCCAATAACATAGTACCGATTCTTTTCTGTTATATATTTTCCATCTGTTTCTTGATTTATTTTTACGATCTATTTCTTGTTAAATTTAGATCTACAGATTCTAGTAGTAACATAAATTTCTGTGAACAGTAGATCTCGCGAATTTATACATATTTTTTCCTCAATTTGATTATTTAACCATCCTTTTCATTGTTTTATTTTATTTTTTAATTAAAATCCCTGTCTTTATTTGTACATTTGTGTTACCTTAAGTTGTATAAACATTGTGCTAAATTTGAAGAAAATAGAATAACACTTTCCTGGTGTAAGGTGGTTGCTATGCTGAAGAGGGGAAGTGGAGCTGTAGAGAGGTCTTGGGGAGGTGGAACTTGAGTGGACTGCGCGAGCTTTCTTCCCCTACACTCAAACTTTACTTAGATGCACTATACCCGAATGAGTGAAGAGCATGCATTCCAATCTGTTGCACTAGAGGCAATATTCTAATTCAAAAGATTACTCCGATTAATTCAGTACCAGTTTGAACTATATTTATATCATTAAATCATTTCAGTGATAAAGTCAGATAACACACAGTATTCTAAATTTATGAAAAACTGGATGTATATTTTTTCTAGGATGCAGTTGAGCTTACATATATCTACTCTACACTCACTGGCTTTCAATTTTTTTTTTTGTGTGTCTCTTTAAGGAAAAAAGGTAGTTCGACATTACATGATGACTTAAGATTTGAGGTTTATGTGTGAGTTGGTGACATAAAAAATTAAAAATCTGAAATATTGTTAAATTTCTTCAAAAAAGAAATTAAAAACAAAAGCTGCTAATCTGACCAATTTTAGCCAATAATAAACTTATTGAACTTTTTAACAATATTAGGGGGGTCGGAAAGTAATGTCATTTTTTTACATTAAATAGAAATACATAAATTTCACACAAGTTTTTATTTTTAATCATTGATGGAATCACTCTCATTATCAACAATCTTTTGCCATCTGCTGTGCAAATTTTCAATGCAGGAACGATACAAATCAATTGGTTTTTTAACAAAATATATAGAGATGGCATTTTGGACATCATTCAAATTTTCAAATATTTTGCCATTTAGAAAGTGTTGAAATGATCAAAAAAAATGGAAATCCGATGGTGCAACATCGGGCGAGTATGGTGACTGAGGCAGTGCTTCCCACCCCAATTCATTAATTTTTTTCAGGGTTCGTCTTACACAATGCGATCTTACATTGTCGTGCTGCTAAATAACACTTTTCCTGTTGACAATTGCTGGCCACTTTTCACTTAGATTGATTTACATGATCCAATTGTTCACAATAAAGGTCTGCATTCACAGTTTGTCCAGGTTTCAGCATTTCAAATTGAGCCAGGCTAGGAATACTCCACCAAAAACACAAAAGGGCGTTATTAGTCGATTACTGATCGATACGAATCAGGTTGTTCAAAATTACCGGATTTGAACTTGAAAAATCACCTTTGTCATTTACGAACGTCTAATGCATTTGGTTAAACATTGCAAATGTTTTTAGTAGCAACTGTTGCGTTATAACCTTTGAGAAAATCCAAAAGGCTGAATATGGACCTCTTCTGGTATTTGAGACACCATTTCACCAAAAATTGTAAATAAAAGTTTGAAATTTAATTATTTAATGCAACTATAGTAGTCACTAGAACCTCAGAATGTCTTTGCCACGATGTACACAATGAGCTGCTAAAAAATAATGAAATTGTGACATGCTCAGAAACGACATTTGTTTCCAGCCCCCTAATAGTTTATTTACTTAACTATTCTGTGCAAGTTCTCATGGAAGCACATTCATTTTTTTATTAATTTTTTGAATTATTCAAAAGTTGTATGCCTTCAGTAACATTGACAATGCTCATTTGAAAGATAATTAAATTGGCTACAAAACCAAACTTAGAAAAAAAACACTTAATCTGACTAATATTAGTGAAGATACAGCAAAAACTTTTGTATTGGAGTTCACTCTCAAAGTAGTGAGATAAGTCTTGTTAGTGGACATGCCTGATATTTTTTACAATTATTAGTATCGTATCCTATGACTTTATTTTTTCGTTCTACAATGGGTCATGAGGAGTTTTAATTCTTTAGGAGATTCCTTATGTTAACCTTGAATAATCTTAATATTCTCATGAAGGTCTCATTACACAATGACTATCATGAAATTTTTAAAAAGTATTTATTTTTTAGTATGATATATTTTTACCTATTCTTATAAGCTCAACATTCTTTTTTTTTTCAGTCAAAGCACTTGTTAAGCTTTGCATATATTTATGTATTTTTGAAATTATTTGATGCAGGTGATGGAAATCTACACTTAAATGTTGAAGACAAAGCCTTCTCCCGGGAATTGCTTGGTGCCATTGAGCCATGGCTCTTTGAATGGACTACAGAGCGTGGTGGGTCAATATCTGCTGAACATGGAATGGGTTTCAAAAAGCGGAAATTCATTGGCCTTGGAAAGAGCCCATCTGTAGTTGGAGTAATGGCTGGATTGAAGAAACAGTTCGATCCAACAGGCATTTTGAACCCATATAAAGTCATCTGATTTCGTGACTATTAAAGATTACACATCTTAAAACCCTATTGCTACTGTGTATCTATTATATAACTTGTGTCCATTATATAATTAAATAATCGTTGATTCCTCTTTTGAAAAAATGGAAGATTTAAAGAAATATTAATAAATAAATATTTTTTTATGATATCTCAATGATTTTTGACTCCATATAATTTTGTGCCATGAGCCTTATATGTACACTTTTGTTTTCCTTAATTGGATTTTGTGATATCTTAACCTTATTTATGTCACTCATCCATACGGGTATTTTCATTTACACAGCTATAAATATATCTATTATGAAAACTATTTTACTAATAAAATTTTAAAAACATCTGACTCACTTTATTATAATCCATAAGCATTTTAAAACCCAATTTGTAGTTGTTTTTTTTTTGTATTTTATGTGTTCATTACGCCCTTTTATGATCACTAATCCGTTGCGAAGTTTATTAAAGAAATAAACATTTGGTTGATAATATCATAATTAGTTTTGATTCTATATATTGTCTTATAAATTCAACATCCCCCAACTAAATTCTCCCAACTTTAAAAATAGTTTTTAAATAAAAAAATTTCCCAGTCCGCTGGTGTTCCCCAAGGTAGTATCCTAGGCCCTATCCTCTATACAGTTTATACAGCTGACATCCCTACCTATCCCAACACTGTCATCACCACATATGCCGATGACACATGTATCCTATCAGTAAATAATGACCCAGCAATTGCCTCCCAAATGCTTCAATCACACATCATAAATCTAGAAGATTGGTGTCAAAACTGGAGAATTAAAATAAACTCCAATAAATCCCACCAAATTACCTTTACCCTTCGTCGTAAACCAACGACTTCCTGTCCTACGGTTTCCTTTAACAATACTCCACTTATCCCTGTTGAGCAAATCCGATACCTAGGACTCCACCTGGACAAACAACTAACTTGGAATCCTCATACTAGACTGAAACGACAAGAAACCGCTCAATGTTTCCGATTACTTCAGCACTTACTAGACAAACGCTCTAAAATTCCAATTAATTACAAAAGACTCATATACTTGACTATAATAAGGCCTATTTGGACTTACGGAGTTGAGCTATGGGGCTCCACTAAACCATCGAATTCCTCTCGTATCCAATCCTTACAATCCAAAATCCTCAATGCTCCCTACTTTGTTACAAATAAAACCATCCATAATGACCTTAATGTTTCTTTTGTTTCAGATCTGGCCCAATCCAGATACCTATCCTTCCATAATAAACTTCAGAATCATCCCAACCCTCTCGTTTCTAACCTTGCTTCCTCTTCAATTCCTGATAACCCTCCGAGGCATCTGAAAAGAAGATGGCCACGTGATCTCCTAATGTAAACATATCATTAGAGTGATACGATTGAGTAGTTACTCAGCAAGTATTTTTTATGTCATTATATACATTATGTTCAAATTTACTAGATGTATTTATTTAATACAGTTGTAAATGTCTTTAAGAAATAAAAATAAATAAATAAAATAAAAATTAAAAAAAGTATAATTTTATTGCTAACAATTGAATTAGGTTTGAAGAAACAAATCCATTAAGAAACCTAACTAATAACTGTCAGAAATTGAGTTTTGCTGTGTTAAAATTTATATAATGATATATAATTTCATGCATAGAAATTTCATACCATCTTTTCTCAAGTATAGGTCGACCTCAAATTTAAAAAAATATTTTTAAGGATAAATAGGCAGAAGAAAATTTAAATTATTGATAAAAAATAAATTTTCTTCAAAATATCAAAAATAATATACATACCTCAAAAATAAACATGTATGCCCAAATTAAGCACTAGATCAAATAATACATGGATCAGATAGCTTTGAAAACTTTAACATTAGAACGTAGGTACATAACTTGAGATTGACCTTAATTGAGGTTTCAAATTAAAAAAAAAAAGGCTAATTAATAGTTGAAGGAAAATTGTTTTCTATTTTTACATATTTGCTAGGCAGGGTTAAATCGATAGGAAAGTAAAACCATAAAATGAAAACTAATTTGTTTTGGTTGGTTTCTGAGTTCCAGTTAAAGTTTGTTAAACATTTCCTACTGGGAATTCAACATGCCTATTTGATATTTTGGAGTATGAGTTCAAGTATTTCAGAAGTATGTGTACTTCTGTTTTAATTTTATGTAACTTAGTTCTCAAATCTGATTTTAAATATAATAAGTATCAGCCCTGATCCATATAAAAATTTGTGGAAAGTGGACAATTTATCACTTTTATTAATTATGAAGTGACATAAAAGCCCCAAGTTTGGATGATCTCATATTTTACTAGATCGAATCCAAAAAATTTAAGTGAAACTTGAATTTATATTGAATTCTCATTTCATGAGTGGGAATTTAGAAAAAACAATTTATATTTCCTATCACCAACTTATAGTCTCCCGGTTATATAAGTATTGTTGGGAATGAAATGGCTGATAGAGCAGCAAAAGAAGCTCTTACCCTTCCAGGACGTGGTAAAGCTTTCTTAATTGTCTCCAAACTTGCTACGACCATTGATAGAGCCCATATACCAAGATTGGCGGACACTATGGGACAACAGCCGTCCAAATAAACTAAAGGTGATAAAAAATGAAGTGAAACCATGTTCCAGTCACAGTAAATGCAGAGAGGAAGTTGTTCTTATGCAACTTAATATAGGATATACCAAGCTTAAGTACCTTCACTTAATTACATAAGATAACCCACCCATTTGTCGGAAGTGTGGAGAGAGAATGTCAGTAGTCCATATCTTTGAGAGTTGTGCCTATTATACCAGAGAATTAAATGAAAGCGGAATTCCAAGAAATAATCAACTGCTTTGGGAAATGATGAAAAAATCTTGAGTAAAGTCATATGTTTTCTCTTTGAAGAAGGAATCTCTGAACCTCTCACGCAGCACACCCCAATATATATATTTTTTTTACTTACTAACTTTAATCTTAATGTGCATTTTATGTCCTTTTAATTTAATTTAATTTCTATTATATTATTTAATTTTATTTCTACATAGCCAGCAGATGTTATTATATATAATCCTAATTATGGCATTGATAACCAACAGGTTTTACTCCTTCACTACAAAACCAACCAACCAACTTATATTTCAACAAATACAGTTTTATTTTCTTGATAATTTGACTAGTATAAACATTTCATTTTATGTTTTATTATGTAATGCTCTAAAAATTGGATTATTATTATGACAGAAAAACTTGGTATTATGTCCTGGGAGTTATATTGTATCATCTATATATTATATGAAGTCATTAATTAATATTCATACATTTAAATTACTGAATATTTGGATGAATTTTTCCTTAGTGAAATCAGAACTATCTGCAGTTATTGAAACTACATTTGATTTATGAAAGAGTATGTGATATTTTGATTCACTTACTGTATTTTTCTGTTGATAAATAAGGTCGAAATTCATTTAAACATACTTGAAAGTTTAGCTTAATCAAAAATGTACTTAGTGGCTTTTTACTATAAACCAATGATATAAGACAGAGAGAGAAATTATAATTACCAATACCATTTATTATTTATTTACAAAAATTGTTTCTGATTTCAAGGAATGAGGAATGCTCAAAGGATAAAAACATTGAAAATTCTATGGGATTCTGTCCCAGAGATAATGGATTAGAGATTAAACTGCGCACTTGGTGGCTTGTATTAAAACTTTTTTTAATTTGATTTGAAACATTTATTTGTTCTGGGTGGTTTTAATTATCAAAGTTTATAATACCCTAGATAGCCACTATCAGCGTTATCTGTTTATAGTATGATGCAACTTCAATACAAAATGAAACTAATTTTTTGACATGGATTTATATCAGATTTAGTACAATTTTAATTAAACCTAATCTTCGACTGTCTCAGGTTCTGTTGTTATTTTTTTTCATGTCTGTGTATTTCCAGATTAGTCTATAAATATTGTATCTGCCCCAAGGTCAACAACAATTCATTATTAAAGTTTAATGTTGATGGCAGCAAATGTTTTTGAACAGGTATATTTTAATTAGAGTTCTAAAAGTAAATATGAATGAATCATACATTTTCTTCAAAAATATCTAGCAGTATTAAAGGTTATACAAGTACATTTTAATAATTCTTCTAAAAATAAAAATAAAAATTGTAGAATTTAATAAAAATGATCATTTTAATGGTACAAGGTTCTTAGATAAATTACATTATAAGGACTGCCTGACTTAGGAATAAATATTAAATAATTTAAATTGGCTGTTTTACTAAATTAAGCATTTTTTAAAATTTAAATTAAGTATAACCTATACTTCATGTTTGACAGCAGAGATGGGTAATAACTACTTTGAGTATTGGATATTTTTCTCAAGCGCTGATTCTGTCTGAGTACAAAGGAATTTAATTATTAATTTAGTTGATTAAGAATCAACTGAAGTGGTGTTTAAATTCCTTCTAGTGATTAATTTTGAATTAAATAACGGGTACTCTGTACTCAGAATCAGAATCATCTTCACCTATCTCTTAATGTTCCTTGGAAAAAGAGAAAAATATGTACCAATAGAAAAACAGTGTTTTATTATTCTCAGTAAGTTATTTAAATGTTTGTATAATCTATACAAATAATTACAGTTTAATTTATTATGTTTAACTCTATGCATTTTTAACAAGTCTAATATAGCTAACTAGTTTGTCTCTTATTTATAATTTGTTTGTGATGTTTATACTTTTCTACTGATCATCTGTTTTTTTTATTAAAATATTCCTCTGCTATTGCTTTCACTTACCTATATGTGGAATATATGGTAAGGGACAGTATTGGTCCAAATAACCAAGTCACACAAAATGGTGTGTATGTGTGTGCGTGTGCGTGTCTGTGTGTGTGTATGTATGTGAACAGTCTAGCTCAAAAAGGAAAAGTCATACAAAAGTGAAATTTCATATTTAAGGTTTGTATATACATCAGATGTTACAGCATCTTTTTCATAAAAATCGACTAACCAGAGGTGCCACTTAATATCAACGGTGAAACACATTTTTACAATTTCCTCAAAAATGGCTCTAATGATTTTGATTAAACTCGGTGTATCGTTGTATAATTAAGTGGTCTTTAATATCATTTAGGTCTTATCACCATTGATGTCGCTTTACAGAGCTTAAATGCCCAATGTTCATATACATCTTTCTCTAAAGTACTTTTAATATAGTTTATTAAAAAAAAATAATTCTCTTTTAGTGACAGTTACTATAAAAAATGGCTACATATGAATTTTTAAAGAACATGATAATTGGAAGCTGGAGAAATAAAGAAAAATGCTTACCCAGGAAGAAAATAAATCTCCAGAAATACTATTCAGAATGTATATGTATAATATATCGTTGGAAAGCAGAGAATTTTATAAAAAACAATATATAATATAGAAAGTTGTAGAAGTTAATGGAGAGTGGTGAAAAAATTAAAAATAATAATTTTTTAAAACATACTATTTAACATAAATCACATGTTTTCAAGAAAATTAAATGAAATTTACAAACTAAATGTAATCATTTAAAATATATTTAAGTTTGAAAAAAGTGTTAAAAATCCACCTAATCAAGGCAATGACATTGTTTAAAAAACTATTTCATGTTTAAACCCTTAAATATATTTACTGTAGTTTAATAACTCTAGATCTGTTATTATATTGAAATAATAAGGTATCTATCGTTCGTTTATTCCAAGGTATCTATCGTTCGTTTATTCCAAAAAATCATCATGTAACCTTTTAGAAAATTAAACTAGTGAATAATTTGATTAATTTTTCCTTTGTGATATTCCAACAGTATCCACTTACAGTCAGTGTGAAACCTTTTTGACATGTCTATGACAGACAATGCAAATCTCTTAATTCCATTTTAGTAAACTTTGCAATGGAAAATAACTAGTTTAATAACTAATAGTCGTGCAATCCGTAATCAACTGGTGGTATAATAAATAGGCCTTTTGTTATTTTAATGGTATTTATGATTTGTTAAATGTAAGCTTTTAGCTTTAGCTTGATTAAAAATGCAATTAAAACATTTTATAATAGCCCAACATTGTCAGAAAATAATTTCTATTCAAAGTTGAGCTGTCAATGAAGGTTGTGTGTTGTGTGCACCAGATTTTGTATTTTTACATCCTCTTTTTTTTTATGAGTTGTGTCTTCTTTTCTTTTTATTATTTGATTAATTTGGTACTTCTGTTTGATTACTTTATTATTTTTATCATAGTTATTTATTTAAATATCATTTTTAAAAAAATGCACAATTAAATAATTAAAGTTTAAATAACGGACAATGATTAATGAGGTATTAAATGGAGCAGTGACGAATCATAGTAACATCTTCCCGAAATTTCAGGAAAAAAATTTATGAATGAAAAGAAACTTTGTGAATAACTTAAAAAGTATACATTTTTTACTTGATTAGACCCATGATTATTTGAAAGTTTACTAAATTCCCTACAACAAAAATTATTTAAATTTGATTAGAGATTTGTAAATTTGAAATAATTTGTATCGACACAAGGAGCAAAGTGGGTTCAAATAATTTTTTCAGAAGAAATAGAGTTGAGATTTGTATTTTGCATCATGAAAAACCCTCATTGGTTAGTTATTATGATTAAACTACAGTGATTTAACTGATAAAAAGGAAATTATTTCCTCTATCACATAACTTCTTTCTATATTATACTGTCAATCGTTCACTGGCCAATATAATATGCAAATTATTTGCATGGGTCAACTTGTATAATAAGAGTTCTATAAAAATGATGAGTTTTTTTGGCCTGAGCAAAAAAAAGAAGGACTTTCAAAGTTTATATAATAATTTATTGACCTTGTCAGTATCTAGGAATAAGACACTACAACCTACTTAATCCAACATAATTTGTAATATTCTAATATTTATAATTGGAAATATTTCTTCAATTACCTCTTAATTATTATTAACAAATTGGTTATTTATAAAATTATTTTTTTGCAGAATGATTTGTAAAAACCTACTGCAGATATGTCCTCAAACGAGACGCTTTTATTCATTTCTGACTAGAGATCTGTATCCTGAAGTTAAACGAGGTCCCTATGCAGTTTTGGCTTCGTCACACATACAGACCTTTGAAAACTTACTTGGCAAAGATAGAGTGATAACTGACAAAGATGAATTAATAGCATACAATAAAGATTGGTTGAATATGGTTTGCGGTGAGTTTACAATTTATATTATCTGCACTATTTTTGTATTGTTATTGCATTGTTTTAACATATAAAAGAAATTTAAATTGTTAATATTAGTAAATCATAGTTATTTTATTTATAATGCCTTTATTGAGAATGAAATATTAAAAATAGAAGTTATCCTTTGCTCAATTGTCAATTATTAATATGCATTTCCTATCCAATTTAAAAAGAAGAATTTGATCCATTTACATTGTCAGGAAAAATAAATTATTGTAATTTATTAACAGAAAGTAAAACAGCCATGTCCCAGAATCAATTTTATGGAACTCAACCAAGTATTTTGTTTGGTAAATCATTTTTTTTTTCTAGGTCATAGCAGTGTTGCTCTTAAACCAAAAACTACAGAAGAAGTCTCTGAAATAATGAAGATATGTTACAAGGAACACCTTGCAGTATGCCCTCAAGGTGGCAACACTGGAGTTGTTGGTGGCTCAGTACCTGTTTTTGATGAAGTTATTTTATCTATGTCTTTGATGAACAAGATACATCACATAGATATAGATGGAGGTTAAAAATGTGAATAGTATATTTTTTTAAGAATACATTCATACCCATATAGTCAAGCTAGAATTACTTGAACTTATGAAGTTAAAAGCTGTGGTTTATTAGATTTGTTTACCTGATTTTTTAATTCTCTGGATAATTCCAAAATATTGGCTCCAAGTTAAATATTTTGTTGGGTTATTCAGAAATGAGTCACTTATCAAACAGATTTTAGGATTTTTTTAATATCATGTCTAAAGAAAATATCTGAATTAAAAAAAAAAAAAAACCTGAATAGAGAAATCTTATCCACCCTAAGGTAATGTACTTCCATATCTACTTGAACATCTTAGTAGATTGATAGGGAAATTCACATCTACGAATATTTTTTAAACTTGGTGTACTAGGTGCCTACCACATCCTGAACAAAAGTCAAGACCCTTTCGGGTGTTGACATGTACCGATAGATGGAATGAAATCTATTTGCCAGGAGCTGTAATGAATAATGAAAGGAATCCAACTACTATACCAAGTTTAAAAATACATTGATATCAATTTTATAACAATCTACAAAGATATTTAAGTAGATATGGAAGTACATTTCCTTAGAGTGGATAGGATATCCCAATTTCTGTAGTTGGGTATTTTTTAATTAAAATATTTTTTATTTTAACCTTTTTAGTTTTTTAAGAATTCACAAGTTATATTCAACACATATGATCAAGATCTTATATATAATATTATCTGAAACCAACACAACTTAGAGAATATTTAAAATATAATTAAATATTTTTTTCAGTATTTTTAGCTCAAATTGTTCCAAAACATTAACAAGATCTCACTGTGTCATTTGAACTATTTACTTCTTGTATAAAGTTGTTCGCTTAATAATTCATTACATATCTTTTAACAGACAGATTAGAGATATATTTATAAAATGGTTTGTCAGTATTTTCTGTCCAAATTGTTTCAAAACACTGAGATGGTCTCACCGAAAAATTTGAGCTATCGAATTTAAAAATCGCTTGCTTTAAAATTCGTTACAAAGCTTTTAGGGGACAATCCAAACATATAACCTTTGTTTTGCTTCGTTTAGTCAGGTAAAAATGATCCTTAAAGTGTTAACATATTGTTATGAGGTAGACTTGTTTACACCTGGAGGCCTTGAATCAACATGAATCTATTCCTCTGACACATCCAGTTTCTATAAAGTAGCTACTCTTAATTAAATGATTCATTGAGGGGACAAACCTTGTGGTTGAGTATGTTTTCTATCCAATCTCTTCATTGTTGCACAACCATTGATCAAGAAACATTACTTTCTTACAAAGTACTGAACTCTATATCCTATATGGCTTGTAGTGGTTAAAGTGATTAAATATAAGCTCCCGAAACACCCAAAGCCATAATTTAGAAATTAATTGAAGTTTATTTTAAGATAATTTAAGTTGGGCCAGAACTCTCATGCCTACTTTTAGTATTTAAGGATGTATTTTGAGTAAATTGATTTTATATTAATACTGAATTTTTTTTATTTTTGTTCACTTTAGGAACAGTAAGTTGTGACGCTGGCTGCGTATTGGAACAACTCGATACTAAAGTTGCCAAGGAAGGATTGATGATGCCACTTGATCTCGGAGCAAAGGGAACCTGCCAAATTGGTGGCAATATTGCTACATGTGCTGGTGGTCTTCGCCTCATTAGGTATGGTTCTCTCGCTGCTAACCTCCTCGGCCTCGAAGTAGCAAGTATTATTAATTTATTTGATTTATATGTTTTAATACTTTTGTTAAATAATTTTTAATGCTCAAAACTAAAACTGAAATAATATAATGATAATAATATTCACAAAAAATTAAATTTTTTTTTTTAGGAATATTGTTACATTATCAGCTAAAATATTATTGTATTAACTAATGTTGGATGAATTTTATTATAATTATATTTGTAAAACACATTTAGTCAAAGCACATATCTATATTACATATAAAGTTAAACATTAAAGCCAGGCTGAATTGCTGCATTTTATACAAAAAATTTTATTAGCATTGGTTATGGACATTCAGCATTTTCTTTTCAATTTATTTTTAAGTTTTAAATTTATAATTTCTTATTTATTATGTGTTCTCTCTCCTCAATAAATATCAGTTGCCTTTATCTGGCGTATAAATGTATTTGATAATGTTGCCACCTCATTTCTCTTAATCTATTTGAAATAGTATTCAAACATGTGATGTGAGGAAAAATTAGTTTATTCGAAAAATGGTGTAGAAAATAAGAAGCTTACTTTGGTGCTAATTTATGATTATAAATTAATTAATGTTTATCTTACTTAACAATTTAAAGGAAATTAATGTTTATTATTAACTCTGTAAAACCTTTCGATTCTGTTTGGTTATCATCATGTTCAAGACATAGAATAGAAATTAAATGTATTTATATATTTGATGTACTATTTTTTTAGTTTTCTTTGAATTAACTTTTTTTTTAAAATTGGTAATGTGCTCTGGGGTAACCAGATTTTATATGGCCTATAGTTACTTTCATAAAATTTTAATTTGTGATTAATAACTAACAATTTTTGAGTGCAAAGTATTACATGTTTATTTAACAATAACAGACCAAGATTTTACATACCATTTAAGGTATGTTTTTAATTTTGTTTATTTGTGTTTAAATGCTTGAGTATTTATATATATTTATATTGACCCATTACCTTTTGAATTTGTGGTACTGGAACTGGACTATTCCAGGCTATATTCTTTAAGACTATTGCAGGAAATATCTAATAAGTGGACCTGTTGTGCATTCAATTGATTTAGAAAGAACATTTAGAAAAGTTTTGGGATCCTAATATGGGCCATTCAAAAAATTGCAATAATAAGACAAAGTAATATTTATAAATTTTTAAAAGAAATATGTTTACATATCAAGATATTATAATCAATTCATATTACCATAACGTCACTAAAATTAAAAAAAAAAATTGTTTCATTGTTATAAGACTCATTTAATTAAACAAAATCGTTTTTTATTTAATTGGAATTTTAATATATTTCCTTATATATTAAAGAGAGTGTAGTGGATGCGAGTTAAGTTACTAAGATTTCCTGCAAAACCAATCATATTATTATGATTATCATATGGGATAAGCTAGTTACCTCCTTTTTGAAAAATTATTGGGATAACTGGACCATCCCTGTCACATAACCAGCAACAAGCCATGGAGTGGTAATTATCACATTTAGTGATAAAATCATTCATTATGCCTTACTAGTAATAAAGAAACACGCATTTACAAAGAAATGATGGAAGTCCATTAAACATCCTAAAACAGTTTTGGTGAAATTTCTTCTTCGAAATTATTGAACCTCTCACGACTACAAAATGGCTTCAAGAGTAGTAATGGCTATTGTTCTAGATAGAATTAAAAAAGGTTAAAGCGTCCCAAACATATAACATTACGATTCTAGCAAATATGGATATGAATAATCCTAGATCCCTTCCTTGGATCCAGAAACCCTGGAGCACCTCATAAGTTATCTACTATTTAAAAAAATCTTAATACATTTTGTTTATTTCTTGAAAAATTGATATTTCATGCAACCAGGATTGTAAGTATTGTGTGTTGTGCATGTATGTACAAATATACTTTATATATAATAATAATAAATTAAATGATAATTGAATTTTTAAATGATCAAAACTTGCAGGTACTAGCTAATGGAGAGGTATTGTCAATGATGAACCAGATGAAGAAAGACAATACTGGCTATCATCTAAAGAATGTAAGGTTCATATAAACCTTCATTTATTTTTTTTTTACTTCATAATTTTACTTTGCTTTTTTTTATTTTTATTTTCCTTTTATCTGTCACCAGTACAGTGATTTTTTTGACAATGATAGGATCTCGAACAATACTGCTGAATTATATTCTCAGAAGCTCAGGATGTCTTGTTTGGTCTTTGCTTCCTAAAATGCTAAATGGAGTCTGTATATGGTTTAAGTTAAAAAACCTGTCGATATACCTGTCACAGCTACAATTTATTTTAATTAATTGCGTAGTATGCATCATGAGACATAAATAGTGAGAAAATATTTAAATGATCTTATGATTGCACCATTATTTTGTTTAACTCCGATCAAAGTATATTTATAATCAAATTTATTTATTTATTCTAGTGGCTGTCAATGAAATCCTGTAATAGAATTTTGTAAAATTTCAATTATCAGCTCTTTAGTACCACTTGGCTGTTTTTGACAAAAATTGGCACATATATTTCAGAAATCTGTGAATAATTCCAGATTGTATAGTTTGTATTCCACTTTAGTCTGATGCTTTTTAAGTTTTATTTGTTATCGGGGGTTTAGAAAGTAGATATAAAAGAAATTTTTCAGATGATTAGTAGTAAATTATAAAAATTAAAATTTTATATTATGTTGATATTTTATCTATTGATGATAAATAAATGTTATTTCTCAATATTGACTTTTATCTTCAGAAAATTAAATTCTCATAGGAAGTGTTTGATTTAAAAAATAAGTAATATTGCTTGCATTGCTTTGATAACAACAAATAAATGTCAAAATGAATTCATAATGTTTAAGCATTTTTTATAACATTCTATTTACAATTAATGCAAGTGATAGATAGAATGTAAAAATAAATCAAGACTTAAGAAAACAGAACAACAAGAATTCAAAATGTTGGCTACGATACAAGACTGATTGAAGTTGTACAGAAGGGTAATACATTCCCCTTCTTTATCCTAACCTCCTGCGTATACTCTGCTAACAATTTTCTTCGCTAGATTGTCTTCCTACACTTCATAGATAATTTGTTTATATGTATCTTAATATGTATCTTGTTATAACTGTATATTTATACACATATATTAGTTTAGATTAAATAAAATAAAAACTCTTCTTTAATATTGTTCCCAGCTCTTTCTTGGTTCTGAAGGCACATTAGGTGTCGTAACAAAAGCAGTGATTCAATGTGCTACACGACCTAAATCTGTGACTTTAGCTTTCCTAGGTAATGTTTAACTAATATTCACTTATAATGTAGAAAGCCATTTTTAGGTTTTACAAAAAAAAATGTTGTTTGATAATGTTTTTTAATCTATAAATACAGATGAGCATTTAATATTATATCAGTTAATTTTAAATAAACTTAATATTACAAGTTTTAATAAAGGTGAAGAAATAGTTGACTGTAGATAATATTGTTGAGAAGTTAGTTGGGGTGCTGTCAGTGATAAACGCAAATAATTTTTTTTTCCTTCTATCATTTACCTATATATGTAAGAGAACGTATTGCAGTCGTGAAAATTTTTGAATCTGAGTTTTCTATAGAAATACATGTTTCAAGGTATTCTGTGTTCAAAATTGTGTGGGTGTTTCTGTGAACAGTCTAGCTCAAAACCGAAAAGTCTTATGAAACTGATATTACATATTTAAGATAGGTATATGCCTGGGATGTTACAGCAACTTTTTCCCCAAACTCGGCTCACTGGCAGTGCCACTTTATATCAGCGATTTTACACATGTTTACAATTTACTCAAAAATGACTAACAATTTGGTTAAATTCATTATATTAATGTAAAATTAAGTATTTTTTTAATATAATGTACATCTTATTATAGTCTTATTATTAGGTGTCTGCTAATAAATAAATGCAAAGAAGTGAATAGAAAATTGAAATATATAATTATTTTTTGTAATGGTTAGGTAGGTATGAAAATAAGTAGAATATAATGTTGTACATTTTTATAAAATTTTAATATTAGAGGATAATGGATTGTGTGATATAATGTAAAAAAAAAAATTAAATAAATTAGGATTTTCAGAATATTATCAAGAAATCAAATATGACATCTAATTGTATCCGAAAAAAACGATATCTCCATTGTTTTTTGTTTTTCCATATTCGTTGGTTTTTATCTATTACCTAAAAGTTAAAGCATACTAAAAAAAAAAAAAAATTAACAGGCTTTTGTTAATCATGTTTTGCCAAATTTCACATCGCTCACAGTAATAGTACTTACTGACTCCTTGTTCATCAACCATTGTTTTTAAAGACCTTTGTTGATCTAAACACTGTTTTATAAATTGACAAATTGTAGTGATTATCTTTTTATTAAATAGTTTTGATCTCTTTGGAGAAAACTATATGTAATAGTTGTGTTTATAAAATAAAAGAGTTTTTAAAAAAGTATATTATTGCTGTCATGTGGGAATTTTAACAGTTGGAATGTAACATATATAGCTTCTGGTTTCCTAGTTGAACTTGGTCTTCCTTATTTTTTCTCTTAGAAACTTGAAAAAAAATATGTATTACACATAAAATTTTTAAAAAAATATTGCAATGTTTTTATAATTTTAAGAGGGTCTTATTTATTAATTTATTATTACGAGTGACACTCAATGATCTTAAGAGAATTTAAAAATAAAGAAGTAATAATAGTAAAATAAAAATACTGAGATGCCATGTTATAATGAATTTCCGAGCACTGTTATTTGTATAATATACCATACAGCCACTTTGCACGGTTTAAGTGAAGTTGGCAAAAATTCTACTGTTTCTATTTTGTGCAGACTAGGTATCCTAATTTTTTCGATTAACTTTTCATTTCTGTTCTGCAGTTACTTTAGTTAAATTTATTTTTATAGTACGCTACTGGTATAGTTTAATGCTCTCTTTAATAAATTTTAATATATTATCTAATAACTTTGTTTTTCAGGTCTTGATAATTATGAAAATGTTGTGAAAACATTTAGATCTGCTAAAAACCACTTGAGCGAGACCCTGTCTTCTTGCGAGATGATGGATGCTGGATCAATGGAGTCAGTGATGAGACTTGGCCTTACTTGTCCAATAAAACAAAATCGGTTAGAGGAAAAATTTTTCTGTCATTACTTGGTTTATTTATTTTTATAGAAAAAAAATAACAATATCACCTCATTATTTTTATTTTATTGATTTAAAAAAAAATGTATAATTTAATTTATAGGTTTTACATGATCATTGAAACCCACGGCTCTAATTTGAATCATGATGAAGAAAAGATGGCTGCTTTCATCACAGAAGCTGTTGACTCAAAAGTTGTTGCTGATGGCACTTTCACTTCTCAACCATCTTCCATGCTTGTATATAACTTTTTACTTTATCTAGTTCTATTGTTTAATTTATTTGAGAGGATCAGAATCCAAGGGATATGGATTTATTTTCATTTAAAGTAATTTTAATTTAAAGATTCTAGCACCATCAAAATAGGGTTACTTTGCCTCGGTTTTTGGACTTGTCCACTTATGGGAGTTAGAAAAGTGAAATTTATAACTCAGCTTCTTTAGAGCATAAATAAAAGAAATATCTCTGTGTTGATATTTGAATGTTTTATTATATTTTGGAGGGAAAATAGCGCAAAGTTTATGGGTGTATTGGAAGAATTTGCACACCACTTTCTAAAACTCATTAAAATTCCTGAGAACCAAAAACTGTTACTATTTAAAGCAGTTTGCATCAAAGAGAAGAATCACTGAGAACATATGTTTAAATATTCTTTGAGAAAGACTGTGTTTTTTTTTTTTTTTAAATCAATAATCATTTTTCATCAAAATAAAAAAGAAACTTCCATTCAATATAAATCCTGACTAAAACAAATCTAAATTATTTAATCATTTTAAAATTAATTTGAAATTGCTATTATAGTAATACAAGGATGTTGAAAAGTAAAAGAAAAAAAATCTGGCAATAACTGAGATCACATTTACAGGAGCCAAGTATCCTCAGTTTTGGGTGCAGTTATAGTGCATCTAAGTTAAGTTTGAGTGTAGGGGAAGGAATCTCCTGCAGCTTTCCCCCCACTCAAGTTGTACCTCCCCAAGAACTCTCTCCAACTCCAATTTCCCTCTTCAACATAGCAACCTCCTTATGTGGGGACCGGGTGGCCAAACAGGTTAATGTGTGTGCACAGCACCGTGCGTTGCCTGGCAACATGATAACCAAAATTGCAGACAGTAAAATTATGAGTTTGCGTTCCGGTGCCTAGGGATCTTTTAAATTCCCTGCCCTCACCCCCGGGCCCCGGGAAAACCCCTGTATAGCCTGAAGGAGAGGTAGGGAAGAAAAAGAAAAAAAATCAACTTCCTTATACCAGAAAAGTGTTGTTCCATTTTCTTCAAATTTCGCACAAATGTTTATTAAAGGTAGGGATTTTAATTAAAAAATAAAATAAAGCAATGAAAAGGATGGTTAAATAATCAAATTGAGAAAAATATATATATGAATTCGTGAGGTCTACTGTTCACAGAACATGATGTTATTACTAAGATCTGTAGATCTAAATTTACAAAGAAATAGACCGTAAAAAAAATCAAGAAATAGATGGAAAATATAGAACAGAAAAAAATCTGATACTTCATTGTCGGATATTCCATAATGGAGTGGAGCCTTTTTCATTTACTTCTGAATGTAAATAAAGAGAATTGTCTAAATTATGTATTATTTTAGACTATACTGTATCAGCTCGAATCAAATGAATCACAGTATGTAAACAGCCAATCTTTCTGTGAATAAATTTAGGAAATAGGAAAAGACGTGGAAAAAAATGATAAAAGAAATTTCTACTTATAAACAAAAACTTATAGAAATACGTATCAATAAATAGAGAAGAGAAAAGAGTGGGGGATAGGTGGTGAAATGTTTTTTCACTGTGCAACTGTCTCCTCTTACTACCCTCAAACTTATCTTAGATAGATTCTACCCACATATAAATTTTTAGTTATAACAACAACTAAGGAAGAGATTAATAACAACAACTGATATTTACTTTTTAATCACAGAAAGAGTTTGAACAACTTAAAGGTGATTGTCACCTTTATACTTCCAGATGAAGCAATCTAGCCATGTAGCTTTTTAATATGTTGTATTACTGAGAATAACACAAACAGAAAGAAAAATACCAGGCAACTTATGCTTAACCTTCCTCTGAATTTTTAATCCACCAATCAGAAGTTATTTTACACTTTCCCTACCAGACCTTTTGTATCTTATACTATCATGTTTAGGTTGCTATCATACGGCAAACACATTTGACTTCATTGGAGCCAAGTTATCCCTCAAGGAGGAAAGTATTCCAGTTTAGTAGTTTCATGAAATGTATGATTTTTTTAAAATCAGAGATTGTTTATTATTTTAAAGATTATATTTAGAGCTTTTTAAGAATAATTTATATTTGCAGGGCCGTACTTTGGCACAGTGCTGTTTTAATAGTATTGAAAAATACTGTATAATTGTTTATGACAATGTTATTATATTACTGGAGCTCTTTGCTACTAAGTACATTTATTAATCTAATATTAATCTCTACACTTAATCCTTTTCTGGTCATGGGCACTCCAGTTCCCATCACTTTGAACCTCAATTCTGATGTCACTTCTAGTCAATTTCAGATAAAACAAGAGTTGGTTTATAGTTCAAGATCTGATCTGTTATTTTGGCTTCATTTGGGCGTCGATTTGGAAGGTAAACGTATGCTTCCTTTGAAAGTCGCATGCGATATGGTGGAGTAACCAATAGTGAACCCACCATAAAGCTTTCCTATCCCACATGCTAAAAAAAATCTCTGATTGACCTCAATTTGAACCCTCTAAATCTGTTTATTGTGAACTACATTTCCTAAAATCTATAATCGCTGCTAAAACTTCATAGAACCATAATTTTCACATTTTCGAATCTATTCAATCATCAGAAACCCAGAAGAGAAAAAAAAAATAATTCGCTCAATAAAAGTACTTAATTCAACAAGTGTAGATTTAAAGGTACCCCAAATTAAAAAATTAAAAATAGACTTGGACAGATTAGTTCCTGCCTCCTGATAAATGTCAAAGGACAGAAAGAAAGTCAATAATAACAAAATAGATCTAGGTAGTAGAATTGGAGATGAAATAAATTAAAATTTCTTATTTAGATTTATAAAAACTTTATTTTTTTTTAGTTTTATGATTTATTTATTTTATCATTTGTTTTGAAGATTCTTCTTCATCTTAATGAAATTCAATTCATCATTTGTTATTAATTAATTGTTTAAGAATCTGTGGCAGTTGCGTGAGAGGATCCCTGAGTCAGTCGTTCGCTTTGGATATATGTATACATATGATATATCTTTGCCTTTGAGTCATTTTTATGAAGTTGTTCATGAAACACGCAAAAGACTGAGCAAGCATGGCTTCAGCAACCTTCCGGTGTTTGGTTGTGGTCATATTGGTGAGTTAAGAAGAATGTTACCTATTATCTCTAAATACTAAATATATTAATTAGTTAATTATATCCTCTCAAAACAGTTTTTTTATGCTTCGGTTTTATTCTGAAAGCATCAGTAAGAACAGCAATGAAATAATGACAATCATGATCAGTGCTGGCCTTGGACATTCGGCTCTGCCGGGCAATGACTTCATCTCCCTCTCAAAATCAAAAATCAATAAACATAGAAAAATAACTGAACAAGTAGAATAAAATCAATTGAAGAGCAGAGGGTGATAAAGTTATTGAAACTAGTATATGCACTATTTCAGTAATAGTGCCGAAGTACTACTCCATTATAAGAACTGGACACAAGAGCACATTATAGGTAGAATTCTGAGGAAAAATGAAAGTAATATAGTATACATTATCATGTTTATAGGTCCTTATACATAATAATAAGGATAGGATTAGTTATAATACATAATATTTAGATTAGGATTAGGTCATAATACATAATATTTAGGTTATAATACATATTTAGTTTAGGATTAGATTATAATACATAATATTTAGATTAGGATTAGGTTATTATACATTACAATGTAAAGTTAATTGAAAATATTAGTTGTTATTAAAATTATCAATGCAGTAGATCAGGATTTTTGTTTACCAATGACAGTCTCTATAATTTTTTTAAACTATTCTTCCCACAGAAGCTTTTGGTGACCTGCACCATAATCATCTCTTTATCCCTCATTTTTCTATTTAAAAGCATAAAAGATTTGAACAGTGTTCATCTCTGGCAGATCCAGTATTTAATTTTTTTTGGAGGGGGGCTTCAGCATGAAAGCTTTTTTTTTCATAAAAATTACGATAATGACTTTGGAAAAAAAGAAAGAAACTAACTACCTATATGAAATGGTGTCTAAGTGATTCCTAAAGTCCTTTTAAATGTAATTACACGAACAATAATACTTTAAGACATAATTTTTTAATATATTTTTCCGTAAAACATGGTTATATTTTACCATTATGGGGAGGGCTTCAGCCCCAAAGCCTCCTCCCTCCCTCCGTAGATCTGCCCGCTGTGTTCATTAAAATAATGGATAAAGAGATGAATATGGTGTACGTCACCGAAAGCTCCTCTGGAAATGAAGTACTTTAAAAAAATTATAGAGACCATCATTGATAAACAGAAATCCTGATCTATTATAAACATATAAAACAGTCTAAAATTACCTAATAATTATTACTGCTGTATTAAGTAGATCAGATATGTCCGATTTCCACTTGCTATACTAGCTCAAGAGATTACGGATCCTTTTGAACTGAGGTTGAGTGAGGGTCTTAACAGGCAAGATTTCTTGCCAATGGGTATTTATGCATCTTTTTGATTTCATTATCAAATATCCTCTATAATTTATTTCTATGGAAGATCTGAGGATTATATACCTCCATTTACCTTCATACACACTAGGCTACTTTCAGAATTCCATCTACATTATGATGGATGGGATCTTTAACATTATGATGTGATATTTAACATTATGATGAATTGATCTTGTGCCCAGCCACTATCTTGGGATAGCAGTTCAGAACTAGTACTCATTATTTTATGATCTAGTACTCATAAAATTTATTTTATTAACTTTATAAATCTAAATATTTTTTAATGGTATTTGAGGTCCTGTGAAGACTGTTTCTGTGTTACAGGAGATGGAAACTTGCATATACTTATTGAAGGACCCTCTTATCAAGATGAAGTGACAAACTTACTAGAACCGTGGCTGTTTGAATGGACCGTTAAGCATGGAGGATCTATGTCAGCTGAGCACGGTCTGGGTTTCAAGAAACGTAAATACATTGGTCTTGGCAAAAGTTCATCGGTTGTTGATATAATGCTATCATTAAAGAAACAGTTTGATCCAACTGGAATACTTAACCCTTATAAGGTCATCTGAATTATTACATCCCCATCACTGTTCATTACAGAAATTTATGAAACTATGCAATTAAAAGTTCGTCTTGTCACATTCTATGAATAAAATATTAGTTTCTCAAAAAGTTTGAGGTTTATCTTTTTGTTGTCACTTTGTTCTAAATATTCTATTTCATATCACACATATTCTTTTGCATATTTTATTAAACATTACTTTGACTTACTAACCTGAAATATTTCATTGCTCATTTTTCTGCTAGTAGTAATTAAAAAAATAATTAAATTGGTTTAGTAAATTTCAATTACAATCACATGTAATCATAAATAAAACAGCCATGTAGATTAACTGACAATACTTCCCCTAATAGGTAATCCATATAATTGATTTTAATAATTTGCTTATGAATCATCTTGGCTTATTTCAATTTAAATGCACTCATTTAAAAGGCAGGATGAGTATAGCTAGAAAGATGAACTTCCAAGAATATTTGCAGATTGACTAAATAATTGAAAAATCCTTTGTTTTACTCTCAGAAATTGTTACCCCACCACAATAAATGATAAGGCAATAAATAAAGGAAATAGTTGCTGCATAAGAAGTTTTACCAACATAATAAAAATTACTTAGAACAGCAAAATATATTTCCTTTTTTTTCGACATAGAAATAAGTAATAATATTAAAATAAAAAAAAATTGTATACTAAAAGTTGAGCTCACAAAAACCACTAATAAATATTGAAAAGAAATATAAATGTTTTGAGAGCGAAATTCACATTTTTTCTACTTTTGACCAATTTTATCTTTTGAAACATTTTCAACCCACTTTACAGTTTTATTTTTTATTTTAATTTAACAAATGCACATTTTTTTGAGATTCTATCACAAAAATCATCTAAAGCATTTTTTTAGTTTAGACAAACTAATGAGCTGAATTTGATACAAACTTGTTGTAATTTTAATTATGGCATTTTTAAATAATTTAAAAAAAAATATATAAGTAAAATATAGTAAAACGGTAGAAAAAAGTTAAATATATTTTTTAAAAAATTTAAATTTTATTAGAAAAGTTAGAATAATACTGCTCTTATTTTCAACATTTTTATTGGTATCTAAATAATTTAAATAAATTGTTTAAACAAGAAATTAGATAATAAAACATTTAATTTAAACACATGTCTATTATTGGAGTCTAGAGGTAGTAGGAATAGTCATTTGTTTGGAAGAAGAGTGCCACATTAAAAAAAAAATCATTGATATTAACTTCACTGGTTTAGGAAGATTTTAATTTTTATATATAATAATAATTTTGTGAACAATGTATTCCATTTTCATCATTTAAACTTAAATAAAAACTTTGAGGAGCTTACCTCAACTTCAGGATCACCTAGCAAACATCATTATACAAAATATAATGTTTTACAATTTTATTGAATCTAACATTAACGATTCATTATATTTTTTTAATTTATTGTCTTATATTTTGCTTTCCCACTATCGAAGGTAGAGAAGCATTGTATTTTCAATTATACTTTGGTTTTTTCTTCCTTATAGTGTTCCAGGAATTTACATCCATATTTTTTTAAATAAAAATTTTGTCATATTTGATTGCCTAATCATTGAAATTTAATTAATGAGAACAAACTTGATTTAATTTCTACTATTTCAATGTCATATAACCTCTGAGTCTTTGTTAATTCTTTTTACTGTATTATCTCATTCCCCTCTCCATGTTTTGTATTGTAAATTTATATCCTTTTTTTATAATTTATTCAGTTTTTAGTTATTTATTTTTCAGGTTCAATTTAATAATTTAGCACAATTGTTCTAAATATTTTATGATTGGTTTGAAAATCAGTATTTTTTGTAATTGATTTGTTGGCTCCATTATTCTTTTGTTTATTGTATTATTTTCTCTACTTAATATTTTCTGATTTTTTGTTAATTAATATTATTGGGTTTTCTATTAATTATAATTTTCAGATTTTTCATTTGTTAATATTATCGGATTTTATGTTAATTACTATTTTCGGATTTTTCATTAATTAATATTTTCGAATTTTTGGATTAACATTTTGATTTTCAAAATTAAATGAGTTTTATGTTACAAAGCTATGTTATACCAATACTATAATATTCATATTTTGGGAATTTTTGCTATATACCTAGGTTGATAAATTTTTGTATTGGCCTTTTTTGATGTTTTCTCAATGTACTTTGATATCAGTTTATTCTATTTATTTTGCAAATTATGGTATAATACATGGATTAAAACTTTTTTAAAAAGTTCCATTTTAACACTTCCTGTGAAACTTTTTAGGAAAAAACTTCTGAGGAACTTTTTTTATTTTTTATTAAAGTTCTAGATTTATGGTAAAAGTTTAACTTTTATTTATTTAAGTTCTTAAAAAAAAAATCCATTAAATGAGAAATAAACAGTAATTGAGCTTAGATTGGAGTTGTAATTTGTCTGAACTTAATTACACATGATTCTTATGTATCATTTGTTTGATTAGTTAAGAATTAACATAATTTTTTAGATCGACTTTTTAGCAAAATCAACAGAACTTTTAATTCAAACTTTTTTTTTTCCATTTCTAGCACTGTTGTAATATCCTCTTTATGTAATATCATTATTCTGTCCACCCCGATTTAATTATGTATTTCATCTATTTTTTTTTTGTTATCATATTCTATAAAAGCTCTATTGATTTAATTAGTGAGTTTCTGTTTTTATGGTGATTTTCTTTTCATTTGGGAAGTTTTTCTATTTATGTATATTTCTTTGAGAAAGAAATTCAGTTTTTAACTTCAATATTTATGGTAGTAACAAAGTATTTTATTTTTTTTAATGAAAAACTGACAGAATAAAATTCACCAGTTGATATGATCAAAAATTAATTTTTTTTTTTTTAAATAGAGTGAGTAGTATTGACTAAGTAAATGTCCAACTTGTGTTAAAATAAGTTAGAGGCAGAAGTAAACCTAAATAAGCAAACTCCAGAATGGGTATCTTGTAAAATTCCACTTTTTTGAAATGTGACCCTCTTCTTCCAAGTGAATGATATAAATTACAATGATGGCACCTTGAGGAATTATCCATGCACTGCCGTGGTTCCATTCCAAGCTTTAGCTCGTTCCCTGTTGAGCTTGATGGCAGCATTGACAAGGCCAGTACTTCTGAAGAAGTCAACAGCAACAATATTCGAACAGGTTGCCCACTTTCTGCATGACCTGAAGGATAGTGTCAGATTGGTATTGATTCGGTTTGCGAGGTTTCTGAGCCCTCCGTACCAGTCTGTGAGGACTCCTAGTGTTGAGGGTGTCAACTCAGCCATTGCTGCCCACATCTGTTTTTTATCTCTCTCACACCTATTAACAGATTTCTTTCTTAGCAATATAATTAATTTTTCTATTTTATATCAATCAATAAACAAAGAAAAACAAAAAATACTACCACTAATGAAGTAATGTACCTTGAGTAATATACTTTTCACATTAATGATTTATTTTTTTATGTATTTTTAATACCTTATTTTCAAAAAGATAGTTATATGCACTGAGTTTTTAATGAAAAAGTAATAATGATGAATATACGCATTAAACGTTAAAGTAATCCTTCAATTTGTAATAAATGTATAACTACGAAAAATAGTAAATATTATTAAACTGATACAGAATAGAAATTTAAATTCGTGTACTCATATTACTCTTATGAGTGTTGAAACATTTTAATATAAATTCTGTGTTGGAAAAATTGGGAACAACATAGTTGTAGAGAATGGTGTTGATTATATTAAATTTTTTTAACATTGTTAATCAAGAAAAAAAATATATATATAACTGCCTCCTCAAAATTTGAGATTTTACATTACATGCAGTATCCAAAAATCGAATACTAACAAAATATTCAACAAGCATAATCCAAAAATTGAATAAAATTCGCTCAGCCACTAAGTTTGAAGCTTTTCTCCCAGATCAATGGGCATTTTTTCCCTTCAGATTTGGTAGGAATATCACTGGTCACTTCAGGATGATCCTTGACCAAACCATCTGCCATTTTTAAAAAAAATAATAGTCAATTTAGAGATTCCATATGTCTATGCAATTAAATTGCCTTTAAAAAAACAACAAAATTGAAATCAGACCAAAATTAGCAGAGATTTAGTGCATACTTCTATTTATACTCATGTTTTGTAAAGTATGTATTCTACATGTTCTTATCGAAATCAGTTCATCTTTTTTTACATTTTGGTAACTCAAATAATAAACTTCTCGATCATTCTAGAAGCTCATTTGTAAGATCATTTAATGGTTTATGAAGCCAAAAATTAAAATAATAAATCTAAATTGGACCAATCTTGGTGAATGTAGACCAAACAGTTTCTGTATTCAACTTTGTAACCAAACCGTAGGAAAAGTTGTGTAAGAGGACACATAAGATATTTTTTTATATATAGCTATTTGAAAATAAACTATTGTGTAATAATTTGTAATATTTTTAACTAAATTGTTTTTATTATTATTATTTAATGGCCCTACAACCCATGAGGAGTCAGGGCCTCCTGTAATGATTTCCGCCAGTCCTGTCTTCTTTGTACTGCTGCTCTCCAGTTTCTTGTTCCCTGGATGGAGTGGGCGTCCGATGTCACCATCCTTCCAGCGCAGCCTTGGCCATCCGACTCTTCTTTTGCCTTCGATCTTCTCATCCAGAATCTTTCAAGTTGGCTCCTCTGGACTCGTCCTAGCTACATGACCAGCCCGCCGGAGCTGGCCCACCTTTATAAAACAGATGATGCTCCTATCCTTGTATATGGTCATTATTTCTTGGTTTGTTTGCCTTCTGCAGATGGGCCCCTCTGGATCATAGATTGATCCCAAAATCATCCTAAGCACCTTCCTTTCGAAGTGGCGCGAGTCTTCCTCCAATGCCCTGGTCAGCGTCCACGCCTCATCACCATAGCTGAGAAAAGGATTAATTAGGGTTTTGTACAGTCGCAGCTTTGTTGTTTGAGAGATTACTCTGCTTTTAAGTTGCGGGCCTACTCCAAAGTAACATTTGTTGGCTGCCTGTATTCTGCATTGCACATCAGCCCCCACTGCATTGTTGCTTGTAACTAGAGATCCCAGATATACCCACTGTCATAAGCAGCCCGGAAATCGATGAAGAAGTGGTGGATTTGAATATTATATTCACAGGCTTTCTCCAACATCATTCTCAGAGATAAAATCTGATCAGTTGTTCCTTTACCCCTCATAAAACCTGCTTGATACTTTCCTATTTCTCTCTCGGCAAATAGGAGTAACCTAAGGAATAGTATTCGTGTGAGTATTTTGTAGGCGCATGATAAAAGAGAAATCCCTCGGTAGTTCCCACATTCAAGAACACCTCCCTTTTTGTGTATTGGGCAGATTATGGTTTTATACCTGCCTGATTGGATTCTTTCCCCTTCCCAAATTCCTAGGATTATTTGGTGCAGGACTTTGGTGAGTTCTTGGCTACCACACTTGATGATCTCAGCAGCTAAGCCATCTGTGCTGGGAGCCTTGTTGTTTTTTAGGTTTTCAATGGCTTCCTCAACCTCCTCAGAGTCGGGGTGAATTAGCATCTCTTAAGAGATCATAAAAATGGCTCTTCCATCTGTCCAGTATTCTATTTTTATCGTTTAGTAGGGTACCAAGTTATTTTTGACTTCATAATTTATTTTTAATAGCTTTGTTATTTGTTTCTTTGAATTTTTCTTATTTGTATGATAATGAAGGCTAAAATTCGTTCCGTTTAGAGATACTAAATAAATTATCAATTTCTCTGATTTATTTTTTTACTACTTTTTAATTGCTATATTATGACCTTGCTAATAATAGTTATTTTAAGTGAAGATTTTATTTTATCCTCAAATCAGTATTAATATTTATTAATAAATATTAATGTTTCATATTTTATTATTTTTTAACTATTAATTAACTAATAAATTAATTTATTTAAAACTAATTACTTATAATTTTGATGAGAAATAGAATTAAATTCTACCTATCCTTAATTAAATACTACATGACCTTGTGCCTCATATCAACAAAGCTTAGTTTTTTCAGGAGAAATAAAAAATATATTGTTTAATATTCTAAATATAGCTAAAAGTTTTATATATGTCTTTAGATAACTTTATTTGTTCATAATTTAAATATATATATATATATATATATATATATATATATATATATATATATATATATATATATATATATATATATATATATATATATATAAATAGTCACTAATCTATAGAAATAAAAATGTAAATGTTCATTTGTACAAAACTGCTAATCTAAAAGTTCTTCACCGACTCCTTTGAAATTTTGACACAACTTTCTATCAGATTTAGTATGTTTTTATATATATTTAATTACCATCTGGCCTTTCGTTTCGTAAAGGCAGTCGAAAAACATGTGTCGCTTAGACTAAACAGCTGTAACAATTTCAATTAAATAAAGAAACTTGACTAAAGACTTCTCCTTGAAGCCTTTTACTTTCACTTACCTATCCCTCAGTCCAAATAACGAAGTCCCACATAATGGTCTGTGTGTGTGTATTACACAGTGGGCCAGACCCCCTTACCGTGCACCCCCCCCCACATCCCTATAAATTGCATATCGTTGTGTTCCTTGTAACAAATTATTAAAAAAAAGCCAATGTTCCCACAAAAAAAAGTGAACGCACTGCCCCAAAATGGCGTCCAAAGATGGCGGATTGACGACTTTGACTTTAGTTAGTTTTTTGGTCACTGAGAATCAGCATTTGGCTTAATTTCCTCATAGTTGGTCTTTTATTAAAGCTGAATAGTTATAGAATAACAAAACATGAAGAAATATTAAAAAATAATTGGCTTAGGCTATGAAAAACACCACTAAAGTCAATTTTTTCAACAAAAAAATTTTCAAGTTACAAATCAAGCGTCGTTTGTAATTAAACGGCCTACAATAACGCAAAACGTGCTGAAATAAACCATCTGGAGAATATATTTCTCTTTCTAAAACGCTGATTATTTTTTAGAAATGTTTAAGCAGTTCCGTAGAAAATGCACTTATGCGGCAGAAAAGCGGTACTGGCGTGGGTGCCTACAGGCCTCTACCACACCATTCAGTGCCCATAAATGGCTTAGTTATAGTGATATAATAGCATTTTTGGTACATTATATTGATTTTATTAACGAACAAATATTAATGCAATAATTTAATTGTAAAAAAAAAATTTTAATTAAAAAAAAATGTATTATTATTTTTTTTTTAATTTAACCTCCTTTATTCTATACGTAGGTCGTTTAAGAAGACCTCAATTGTAAAAATGATATAATTATAATAATAAAACTTAATTAAAAAATACTTTGCTAAATATCTTGATTTTTTTTTTATTTAACGTTGCAATTTAACACTGTGTTTTGTATATTTACTGATTCTTAGAGGTAATTAAAAATTGTATATGCTTCCCAGGAAATGAGTCATGTTAATACCTGTTTTATAAACTAAAATAATATATACCTAATCTGAACTATATATAATGAATAGCTACCGGGTTGTTTAGTAAAACTCATATATCATTAGTTAAAAAATTAATTTTTATTTCCTTTATTTTGTGCAGAAGTTGGGCTATATCATAAATAAATAGGAAATTTTAATATTAAATAAATTATTCTCTATGCACAAAGAAAGATAGAAAGGGTGACCCTAACTATAAACCAGAACTGATTGTTTGGATTTGATCTCAAAATGAGGAAAAACGCGTATAATACATTAAGCGAACGAGAAAGGAAGTGCCAAAACCTCGGAATAGATAAAAAGGACCAGTATCCATTATATAGCTAAATGAATGTATAGTATACAGATGAACAGAATATTTCAAGATGCTGCTAAAACGGGATCAATTGCAGTTTGGATGATATTAAGTGGACGATGTAGGTTTATTATGGTGAAAACCACTTTATTTTCGATTGCTGAAGGTGCACATCGGGACTATATTAACTTTGAAGCAGGATATAGAGAGGTATATCCAGAAAGTTATAGCTCATAGCTCTCCTTCTGTTTAGTGCATTTCCAAAAGATTTTTAAGGAATCTAAAAGGAAAACGAGCTTTTCTGAAAGACAGTTAGATATTAGCATAATCCAAAGTGTGAGGCACTAAGCTAATAGAGAGCTATTTTTCTTTTTATGTGGACTTCTCTATAACCTGCCTTAAAGTGAAGAGAGTCCCAATTTTCAACTTCCCTTCCAATGTGCAACTTGAGTTTCTCAATCCATATCGCTCTGGCAATCGACAATATTTCTTATTCCAGCTTCTACGATTCTTGAGTATAATTTGTTTGGTACACTAAACAGGAATGGATCTTGAAATCCTTAAAAATCTTTTAGAAATGCACTAAACAGAAGGAGAGCTATGAGCTATAACTTTCTGGATATACCTCTCTATATCCTGCTTCAAAGTTAATATAGTCCCGATGTGCACCTTCAGCAATCGAAAATAAAGTGGTTTTCACCATAATAAACCTACATCGTCCACTTAATATCATCCAAACTGCAATTGATCCCGTTTTAGCAGCATCTTGAAATATTCTGTTCATCTATATACTATACATTCATTTAGCTATATAATGGATACTGGTCCTTTTTATCTATTCCGAGGTTTTGGCACTTCCTTTCTCGTTCGCTTAATGTATTATACGCGTTTTTCCTCATTTTGAGATCAAATCCAAACAATCAGTTTTGGTTTATAGTTAGGGTCACCCTTTCTATCTTTCTTTGTGCATAGAGAATAATTTATTCAATATTAAAATTTCCTATTTATTTATGATATAGCCCAACTTCTGCACAAAATAAAGGAAATAAAAATTAATTTTTTAACTAATGATATATGAGTTTTACTAAACAACCCGGTAGCTATTCATTATATATAGTTCAGATTAGGTATATATTATTTTAGTTTATAAAACAGGTATTAACATGACTCATTTCCTGGAAGCATATACAATTTTTAATTACCTCTAAGAATCAGTAAATATACAAAACACAGTGTTAAATTGCAACGTTAAATAAAAAAAAAATCAAGATATTTAGCAAAGTATTTTTTAATTAAGTTTTATTATTATAATTATATCATTTTTACAATTGAGGTCTTCTTAAACGACCTACGTATAGAATAAAGGAGGTTAAATTAAAAAAAAATAATAATACATTTTTTTTTAATTAAAATTTTTTTTTTTACAATTAAATTATTGCATTAATATTTGTTCGTTAATAAAATCAATATAATGTACCAAAAATGCTATTATATCACTATAACTAAGCCATTTATGGGCACTGAATGGTGTGGTAGAGGCCTGTAGGCACCCACGCCAGTACCGCTTTTCTGCCGCATAAGTGCATTTTCTACGGAACTGCTTAAACATTTCTAAAAAATAATCAGCGTTTTAGAAAGAGAAATATATTCTCCAGATGGTTTATTTCAGCACGTTTTGCGTTATTGTAGGCCGTTTAATTACAAACGACGCTTGATTTGTAACTTGAATATTTTTTTGTTGAAAAAATTGAATTTGTGGTGTTTTTCATAGCCTAAGCCAATTATTTTTTAATATTTCTTCATGTTTTGTTATTCTATAACTATTCAGCTTTAATAAAAGACCAACTATGAGGAAATTAAGCCAAATGCTGATTCTCAGTGACCAAAAAACTAACTAAAGTCAAAGTCGTCAATCCGCCATCTTTGGACGCCATTTTGGGGCAGTGCGTTCACTTTCTTTTGTGGGAACATTGGCTTTTTTTTAATAAATTGTTACAAGGAACACAACGATATGCAATTTATAGGGATGTGGGGGGGGTGCACGGTAAGGGGGTCTGGCCCACAGACTATATTAACACTAGCTCAAAAACGAAAAGTCTTACACAAGTGAAATTGCATATTTAAGGTTTTTATATGCTAGGGATGTTACATCAACTTTTTCGTCAAAATCGGCTAACTGGAAGTGGCACTGAATAAAATGGACTAAACACGTTTTTGCGATTTTCTCGAAAACGGCTCTAACAATTTTGATTAAATTCATTGTATCATTATAAAACTAAGGAGTTTTAAATAAAATGTAGTTTTATTCTGATAAACTAAATAGTTTTATTCTCTGTTTTCTAACAGGGCTTAAATGAATGATTTTCAATATTAGCTTCCCTTAAAGTACCTTTAATTTTTTTAATTTGAATCCATTTCACATTAATATCTAATATAAAAGATAGTTAAATATAAAATATGAAAGAATTTGATAATTAACTAAAGGAGAAATAAAGATCGTAATGGAGAATAATTGTAATAAAGGAACCAAAGGAATATGAACGCAGCCGAAAATTTGGAACACGCTTTCATAGGTAACATGAGCTTAATATAATCACTCGGAGAATATTATGTAAACATACATAGTCAGTTTTCATAGATGCAATTATTGCTTTATTTAAAAAAAATAAAAATACCCACAATGAAATATAAATCAATACAGCATTTGTAATTTTTAATTTCACTTTCCCTTTGTCTAAAAATACTTATTTCTGCTAAGAAAAGGGTGGCAAGTGAAAGTTGTGTCTTTCTTTCTCTTTATCGATATAAATAAAAATGTAAATATTCGTTTTTATGAAAACGCTTTCTCCAAAAGTTCTTCACCCAGTGCTTTGAAATTTTGACTCATTTCTATTCGGATTCAAGAGTGTTTTTATATTCATTTACCTCTTTTGTAATAGCAAATATATAAAACCTCAAACCTCATGCCTATTCTCATGCAACATTAAGCCAAAATTTCAAAGTATTCAGTGAAGAACTTTCTGAGAAAAACTGACATGTACATTTTTATTTGACTTAAAATTATCAACACAAAATTATATAACATATTAAATATATAATTAATTAAATATATGAAAAACGTGTGCTTTCTATTTTCTTTCTTTTCCATTTAGCCAGACTGAGCCACAGCAACATGTAAAGCTAGTATTATTAATTATACTTATTGCTTATTCTTAAGGTATACATTTATAAAAATAAATAATACTTGTTACTGCCACTAGGTCATCGCAATGCTAGTTACAATTAAAAACTTTACCTTTCGAATTGCTCATTGAGGAAGGGATATAATTCACTAAAGGTTTGTTTGTTTCCCCATTGCTGTTTGATTGGTAGATACAGTTTATAGGCATCTGCTATAATATCCTTATTGTAAGACAGAATCAATCTTCTTCCTGAGTTCCAGATACTTTTCAAGCTAACTCCGAACTCTTTGTCAGTTCTCTTGTGAAGCAGCTCTCCCAGTTCCTTTTGAATGTACTTCACTAGTCTGTGATGAATTTCAATGTCATTGAATCCTAAAAAAATTTGAATGTATTGGGTGAGTGCAAAAATAATGAGAATTTTAAGATTTATTATGTATTTATTTGTTGATAAAGAAGTTTTATCAACAAAGAAAACTCACAATTACAGAATATCCAGTTTAACAATATTTTACTATTTAGAATTAGTCCTTCTTCTTGCGCTACTATAAGTTTCTGAATGATAAAAAGTCTTTATTAATGAGTTATATCTTTTTCCTTTTTTACATAAATTAGGCCATTATTCACCAACATTTCATTTATTAGCTATTAATTATGACGTTTCGACCATACTAAGGGCCATTTTCAAGTCTTAATGAGTCCTCCGTTAGATGTTCATTATTGTCGCATTAATTTGTTCAGTGAAAAATTAAATAGTTCTGCTATTTTAGAGTTTCCCTTACACCATTTCTATAGGGACTGACTCAGTTCTTGAAGACTTGAAAATGGTCCTTAGTATGGTCGAAATGTTGTAATTAATAGCTAATAAATGAAATGTTGGTGAATAATGGCCTAATTTATGTAAAAAAGACAACCTTAAGAATTTTAGGAATTTCAATTTTAGGAAAAATGAACAGAAGAGTTATATCTTCTTTTTTAAAAATACATTTGACTCCTACAATTGATTTTGATTTTGATAAAATATTTTAAGTAAATAACCACTTTGTGATCTGAAATAATTATGGTTTGATTTTGAAAAAGAAAAAATAATGTATTTTAAGATTCAGGAATCACCATTTTATTATTTTTATTCTTGAATTCGATTACTAATATATTAATTAGATAACAGTTAAACATGTTAGAATTTACATAAAATTGTCAAATCTACACTAACTGCCATCGTAGCTACTGTATACAATGACATAATCTCTAAAGACTTTTAAAATTTAAAGTTAAGCTGGAAGTTTGGAGTTGTAATGAACTATGAGTGACATTTAGGATGACCTTAAAGGCATGATTAGATTTATTCTTGTGTTTTTTGGATGAGCTGGATTTTTCAAATATTTGAGAATGGAAAGCAGTCCTTTACCTGAGAATGACTTATATATATATATGGGGTGTTTCAGAGTTAAGTGGCCAAACTGAAAAAATGAACTAAGGACTTCAAAACAAGAAAAAAATTTCCTCTGAAGGCATGTCCGCAAACGCTTTGTTTAGGAGATATTCACACCTAAAGATTTTCGCTGTTATGAATTATTTACGTTATATGAAATAAATAAAATCTATTTATTTGTTCTATCTACTTCATTAATTAAATGTAGAGAGAGAGAAATACTTTATCAAAAGTAGTGCTGCCGCACTCTATAGGGTTGCTTTTAAAATTTTAATATTAATATCAAATGTTGTTCAAAGGGATTTCCTTGAGAATTAAGACAGGCTCAGCATCTTTCTTCAACAGCATCAATGGCAGAACGGCCAGAATAGTCAACTATGACAATCTCATTGGTGTTGATCACAAACTGCTTTACCTATTTGAAGACTACTGATAAGGGTTGTACTGGCATGAAGTCGTGGTTACAATATTAATATTTGATTACAACCAATTTTTTAATATGTAATTAAATTTTAATATTTTAATTTGGCAATTTTAATTACAATCAAATAGAGATTGTTGTGTTCACTGTTATTGTTGGTATTGGCATTATTCTTGGACTCCAGGATCGGGGTGTGTGTTGCGGCCCCAGTAGCTTGATGTCCTTGTGATGATACTGTTGTGGCTGTTAGAGTGCTGCCCGGCTTGGGGTATCGATGCTCAATTAGAAGTAAGAAAAAAATTTGGTATTGTTGTTGAAATGTATGAAACTTTTGTAATAATGATGGGTGTTGTTTTTCCAGAACTGAAGAGGATCCTATTATTTATGTTAAAAATAGGGATCGAAACATTTGAATACAAAGAATAAACAGAAGTTGTTTTAGCTCATTCAAGTGTATTTAATGACCTATAATCCGACTAAAATTGATATCTGAAGTTATACATATATATTTAAAAAGTACTTATCTTCTTATACTTTTTTTTAAATGTATCCTAGATTTCTATATCATAATTTCTATATCTATTAATTTATTATTTCTTCTTATGATGTATTTACCAATAGGGAAGTGGTGAAAGTCAACTATGACAATCTCATTGGTGTTGATCACAAACTGCTTTATCTGTTTGAAGACTCCTGATAAGGGTTGTACTGGCATGAAGTCGTGATTACACCACCAGTTGAATGGTGGCTCTCCTAGGGTGTGATTGTAAAAGCCAATTCGTAAGTCCAAGTAGCGCACACCCATCATTAACTGCTCCAGCACACTTACATCCTATTAACACTATTGATATAGATTGAAATATGTTTATCATACTCTAGTTAGTCGTAGGTACCATAACTTGGGGCTACTTTGATCATAGAGGGTAAGGTGGACTTACCAAAAGAAGTAGTTGGGCCATGGTAAAGTGTCTCAGGACTAAGCACCAGTGCTGCTACCTGTTGTACATATTGTGACTTATATCTATGTTTTTTTGGTTGATCTAAGTATTCTCTCAGTGATTTCAAATAGCCCCAAGTTATGGTATATTCTTAAGGATTTACGGAAAAGAAATTTCGTTTGGAATAAATATGACTTGTGTTACTTTCTAATGGAGAAGCTACAGTTATATTCTCATATTGAATCATGGGTGGTAATGTTTAAATTTTAGGATTAAAAAAAAATAAATTAGTCAAGAATCTAAGAATTGTCTTCTGATGACATTAAAGGTGTTGAAATAATTTTTCTGTTTCAATTTTTTTAAAAATTAAGTTTTTCTTGTTAAAATTATGTCTTACAATTGATTGAAATTACAATACAAATCATCCCTATCTAATGTTAATTATATTAGCTTTTTCATGAACTGAATCAAACTACTAAATTTTTAAGTATAAATATTATCGCATAGCAAAAACATTATTTCTGTTACTGTAATGAAATTTTATTATTAAAAAACACTGTATATTTTATTTAAAATGGGAGGAACAAACAAAGCTGATATAGAGTTGTAAAGATCTTGACAACTTTCAAGATATAGTACTAATAAATCTTGCACTAGAAAAGGTGATAAGGGACTCTGATGTGCAAAGAAGTGGAACAATTCTCACCAAATCCTTATAGATTCTGGCCTACCAGATGACATAGATATCATAGCTAGATCACAGAGGGACTAAGAAAGGACCTTCTTAGCTATAGAGGCAGCAGGACAGGTAATAGGTCTAAGTATTAACCAAGCAAATACCAAATATATGATTGCCAACTCACCAAGGCCACCACCACCCACAGTTATATTTGGAGGATACACATTTGAAAACGTAAATAGTTTTGTGTATCTAGGATCCTTAGTTTGTGCTAAAATTTTAAGAAGTCATTTGCTGGCTAGATCCACTAAGATCGCTCTGTACAAATTTCTTATTAGACCTGTACTGACATATGGCTCAGAAACATGGCCATTATCATGAACAGACGCCACCAGGCGGCAGATTTTTGAGAGAAAAATCCTGAGAAGTATGTTTGGCCCTGTAAAAGTTGAAAATCAGTATAGGCTAATAGGTGCAACTTATACGGCCCTCTAGGCTAAGATGGGCTGGGCATGTTGCAAGGATGGATGGGGACTCACCAATCAAGCGGCTACTGTTCGGGTATGTGGATGGCAGAAGAAAGACAGGACGACCGCGATTCAGATGGGCAGATGAGGTCAAAGCCGACGCAGAGCAGCTTCTGGACACTAGAACTTGGCAGACCCTTGTACAAGACAAAGAGGAATGGAGGCGAAGACCCGTACCAGGTTGTACTGCCTGTGATGATGATGATGATGATGAATAAATAAATAATTTTATACATCTAATTATTGTAAATGAATTTGATGTGAATGGTCAATAAACATGTCTGCACTTGTTTAAATGATTATAGTGGTTATGAAGAGAAGAATGGTTGGTGTGATGAGTCAGAAATAAAATGGCAAAAATAAATAATAATATTTATTTTTATAGTGCTTATGGTATTCTGCCAATTATGTGAAGTTATAAAAATAATTTTATATTATTTTGTCATAAAATAATAATAAAGAGATCAATATTAATCTTTATTATCAATAATAATAAAGAAGATTGTTTTATTAAGAATAATACTTATTAAAATCAAATATAAGTTACCTGAGTGTAAACATATTTCTGTAAAATGTTTTCTAAGTATGCTGTCTTTGATATCACATATGATGCCGAATCATGAGTGCCAGGTATGAAAATATCACCTAAGCTCAAGTTCTCAATATCATTTCTGATATCATTCATCCATGTTGGAGAGTTTTGTAAACAGGAGTAAGCCACTGAAGCAGAAACATATGAATTACAGGTTGAGATAGTGAAACACGATAATTTAAAGAAAAATTTTTGATGTGTAAGTATCTAGTACAAGAGTAATCGTTTCGTCTAATATAAGGCTAATTAAATAAACTAGTGTTCGCCCAGTGGTCGAAATTCGACCATAATCATTTAAAGTTTGAGGAAAACATATAATTAAATAACAAATAAACTGAAAAATATTTAATTTCCATTTTAATTTATGTGTGTTATTATCACAATAAATGAATGTTATGAATAAGCAAGTAAAAAGTAAATTTAAATTAGCAATTTCAATTCAATTTGTATGAAGAACTTCTCTGTAAACATTGTTCTTTTTGAATGTTCTGTTATTATTTAGTACATAGCCTTGCCCATTGCCATTGGAAATATAAATTTCAAAATTTTAAACGAACGTGCTCTACTTGCTGCCACATATAACTGCATATGTGAAATTACTGGAGGTTGCAATAATACACAAATTTTTCCATAACTTTGACCCTGTGATTTGATTATGGTCATAGCAAATGCAGCCATTAATAAGAATGTTGTTCTTTGAAATTCGAATAGAATTTTCGGCCACCATTTCAAAAGGAAAGGCCTGATGATAATGAAATGTATACAAAAATACTCCTAAATCTTATTGCAACGTTATGTCAAAATTTTAAAGAAATCGGTGAAGAACTTTCGGGGATTACCTGTTTTGAACAAACTACCATTTATATTTTTATTTACATACACTATTTCATTTTTTTATTTATTGATAACACAAAAGTTCGTCAATAGCTATTAAACAAAGAAGGAAGAAAATTGGTTGAATAATAGAGGAGAATAAGAGGCTGAACTGTTTTGTGTTTGCCTATTCATATAATGATATTTTGATTTCTTTTTTTCATAATATTCTAAATTCATTGTTCTTTTATATAAATTTTTTTAATGAAATGAATTTTACAATGATCTGGGCAAGTTATATATTATTTACAACTTAATAATACTTTGTAAAGTGAAATTACAACCATTTGGATCCTGAAAATGCAATGTAATAATGAGAAATAAAATCCTCAAAGTTGAATAAATAACAAACATATCATCGGTTTATTGCCAAAATTCAATAAGTATATTTTTTTATAGAGATGAACTGTTAAGTATGTTTTTCTTAATTTTGACCTTATTTATCGATGAAAAACACTCTGAGTGCATCAAAATGAGACAAACGCTTTTATATAACAAGTACGTTAATTACTGAGTGCACAATATTTTGATTTCAAAGAGGGAAAATATTTCGAAGTATTTAATGATATAATATATATAAAAGATTTAATATTATAAAATGTTACTAAATGATTTTTTGCAAAAAACAGATGATATCAAACAAATATAATTTCTTTAATTAATAATATTAATTTAGTATTTTACTTGTCTCATTGTCCTGAACATATGCTCCAGAAAATATAGTGCAGTATGTTGTATAGGATTGGGTGAAATTTGTTTCACCAACAAAGGAACCAGTATCTATAGAACCACTACATCCCTGCGGTTCGTATTGGAATACCACATCACCAGATCTGTAAAGGACAACACGATCACCAAGTACGAACTGTCGTGATTCCCATATCAGCCTTATTTCACCAATGATATCTGACCTCACAATTGGTGATACCACAATTTCGATGTAAAAATCATTTCTTGCTGGAAAACAAATTTTTGAAAAAGTTATATGAAAAAAGAATTAATTGCTTCTGTTTGCTTGAGAAGACAATTAAGATTAGAATAAAAATTCTTCTTGTGTAAGTTTTTTATTTTCTTTGTGACTAGTTTTGGTCGATAGGTGTTCATCAGGCTGATTCTTGGACTACAATTGTAACGGATCTTGGATGGCTATTGAGGATTCAAATGATTGACAAGCTAGAGAAGAGGGATGAAAATAGTTGCAAAGGAAAAAAATACACAGGAAGAGATCTTTTTATTCTAATTTACTTAGTTCTCTAACATCAAGCCATACTTCAATAGTATGAAGATCAGTGTTACATTACAAGCAGGATTGATTTTCTGTTTATTTATATTTTAATGAGAATATTCGTAAATTGAATTTAAACTTTTTATTGCATTTTTGTTAAAAATTAATAAAACAAACGGAAGATAAAGCTTTATTTCAAATATGAAATTAAAGTCAAATAGAAATTTTACTTGAAATCATTATGTTTATGTTATAATATTCTGTTGTTTTTGTAACTTGTTTCATTCTCATGACGGGAGATAAATATAGAAAAAAAAGTTTGTATGAAAGCTCTGATAAATTTAATAAAAAAAGATATCCTATATAATTTTTTTATTTATAATGATGTAGAGATGGTTGACTGTGATATAATATGAGAGTCGGTCGGGGGGTGTGGTCATGCGGTCATTGGTAATAGAACTGTTTCGACTAATAACTGCTTCTTGCAGTGTCCTATACCACGCTCTGATGAAGAGCTACAAAATGGATCGAAACGATTAAAGTACTATTTTTAAAAATTTAGTATTTATTTGACCTCATTCCGGGACCAACTTGTTCTCAATTTTTTATTTATTTTTTGCACAATCAGACATTTATCAGGATAACTTATGATGGTTCTCCTCCACCGAGGACTCATCTGACAAGCAGGAGAGGAGGACCATTATAAGTTAACCTGATGAATGTCTGATTAAAGACTGAAATCAGTTGTGCAAAGAAAAAAGAAAAAAATTATACAGGAGGACATCTTTTTTATTGAATTTAGATTTCACTCCTGTGACACCAAGTCTCAATTCAAGAAAAGTACTGATGCTAGTAAATTTCTTTATTTATTAAGTAATCAAGAGAAAAATGGGGTTATTTGCAAAACTCTCTAGATCCGCAGCTCTTCATTTGTAAAACTAATAGTTTCATGCTAAAATTAAAATACAAGTCCTAGATGTGTTTCACTGGCTTTATTCTATGCTAGACTTATTTTATTTTATATATTTTCTTTGCTGTACCAGTGGTTTTAATTAAATACTGTCATTTTTTAAACTACTTTTTTCTAACTCATTTGTTAAAAATAAAACAAAATAATCTTTTTATTTAATAATGAAAATTTTAATTTATGAGTTTTTCTTGTCTAATGGGACAATTATTTCTTTACCTTGTGCAAAAGTCACAATATCCAATGAAACTTATAACATACAATATTAATCTTTAAATTGTCATTATTTAATATTTATTTGGCAGAAAAATTTGGTGTAATTAAGGACTAAAACTTCAACTAACTGTTTTTAACCTCAGAAAATTCAGTTCTATGATTTTGTAAGTTTTTTGTATTTTCCTCAAAATTCAGTTGAAATGGATATAGTTTTGCTGATCATGCCTTCAAATAAATATAATTTGTGTCTTTTTGAAGAAATATTTCCATGTAATTAGATGTTACCAGAATAATATAAAAATTCAGGAATTTATAGAATGTTATTCAATACAACCAATAAACAAACGTATTTGGTAAAGTATGAAATTGATTAACTTTTATATCTTATAATGTGAAAAGGGTACAATACCTCAATATTTTTTTATACCAGCTGTTCATCATACAAAGTAAGAAATGAAAGTAGTTCAAATTACATATTTGAAGAACATACTTAAGTAATGAATAAAAAGTTTTTTAGTTCGTGACATCAGAATTCGGAATGTTATTTCTAAAACTTACTTGCTTGAAGCTTATTAGATGAGGATAGAAATATTTGACACTTTGATTCGTATTTAGTTCTATTACACTTTGACACTTAGTATTTTTGAAGGACTTCACAAAGTCTTGTCCACTTTATATTTGCCTATATTGAAGTTAGTATTTTACCAATTGGAATTAGTTGCGTAGTATGATTATTCTATATAATGCCTAATTTTATATTCAACCGTTAACAGATAAAAGACTTGAATAAGTTTATTTATTAACTGATAACTTGAAAAGTTATTATCTGGGGCATTTATACTAAGAAAAATTCCCGTGTTAATTTTAATATTATTTAAAACTAACAGTTTACATTTTTTTACCATAATTATTAGTAACTAAAAAATTAATAATACTAAAATAATTAAATATAAAAAATTAATGTTTTTTTGTTTTGCATTCTTTTTAAATGGATTTTTTAAATTTAATGGTTATTACTCTCTGAAATTTCTCTAGTACATTTAGAGGTTATTATTAGTGCATAACAACAAATAAAAAAAATGCAATTAAAGAAGGAAAATATATAAATAATAGAAATTAGTTTTTTATTAATTAAATGTGTGTTTTAAACTAAAGTATTACAAAACCACTAAGCAATATATGAACTTTGAATACAACTAAAATCCTACCTATTACTGAACTAAACAGTATAACTAATAAAAGATGAAAAGGGTCTATTGTGACTCCCATGATACTGCATTCTTTAAATCGAGAAGGTAGGGCTTTGATAACACCAATCAAATCATTTCATGTTTTTTTCTTTTCTTTTCAAAATACCGACAATATAACGTTGTTTTTTTTTTTTTGTTGTTTTAATTTTATTCTTCCGTAATCAGATTAGGCCAAGATTATATCAGAAAAAATCTTTTTATTCCAAGGCCATTTAAAATCAGTATATTTTAAATAGAAAGTGATAAATAAATGATAGAGATTGAGTTTACGAATAATCTTTTAATGAACAACAATATCTTATATTTCACTATAAACATGAAAAATCTGACACAGATAGTCTCAAATGTATACATGTATACATATATAACAATTCCATTTAAAAGCAAATAAATAATACTTTTCAAAAAAAAAGAAAAAGTAATTATAATAAAATTAACAGTTTGACTTACAAATGTCTACATTATTAAGTAAATAGGCATTTCTATTATTTCATTCATGATTTAACTAATTCATTAATTACTTACACATACCAATTATTATACAAATCGTAATTTTATAATATATAAACAAATATACAAATCATAAACAAAAAATGAAACAAGTAAAAAGTCTTTTATGGAATACAAATGACAAAACAATAACTTTTGAATTAACATATTTTTTTGAGATTTCCAAAACTTTTACAAGAAGCAAATAGTCTCAATCACTATAAAGTAGATTTCGTTTTAAATAATAACAATAAAAAAAAAAAAAAAATGTTTGAGCAAAATAAATAGAAAATAGAAAAATGCGATAAAAATTAAATTCCTAAATTTTAAACAGAATGCTAATGTAATAAATGATTTATTAGGAACATAAAACATAATTGTATAAACTTTAATTTATCAATTAAATTCTACATACATATAGTAAAATACAATACTTCATTGTGTTAAGAAAAGAAAATATAATTTAACAAACAGATATACATCAATGTACAGGATTATATATATAAATATACGTGTACATATATTTGTGTACAATAATATTATATAAAAATACAACCAGCAATTTCATTAATAGATTTATTACAAATATAGTTTATATATATATTACAAAAATGTTCAAATTGCATTAAATATACACTAACCGTTTGCACTTCTTGAGGAGGAATAAGTGTTCGCTAAAACTACAAGATAGCTTTGATACTTGATGAAGTTCCAATAATTTCAAAATATCACTTGCCTCTGGTATAATGTGCAAACGGTATTTTAATTCAAAGACTAGAAAGCAGTCATGGTACTTGACCAAGAAATAACAATATAAATAATCTACAGAATTAGAAATTTATTTCCTATAGAAGAGAGTAAAAATATCCCTTAAATGATAAGTATATACAATATATCTTATTTTAACAATGTATATATATGTATTAATGAAATAATATCTTTATACGAGATATATAACTTTTAAAAACCTCATACAATATATATACTACTGATATGGTGTTTTGCCAATAATTGAACAATTTTTAGATCTACAATGAACTTAAATCCACCTTTGTTTTATGTATCTATAACAATTTTTATAATAAATAAAATCAATAAAAATATTTAAAATTACAAAGGTTTTTAAACAATTATTTGCTAAAAATATTTACAAAATCTCAGCCTTTCTGAAGCATTAATGACGCCTCAAGAAGAATTTCTAATAAAAATAAATAATATGTAAGGCTTTCTTTAATTTCAATTGTATATAATATAATACTAGAGCCAGAAAAATTTAATATATATTCAATTTATTATTAATATTGGAACTGATCCTTACTTATTTATTGATTTATTCCAATCATAAATTGATTATTCATTTAAAATGGTACAAATGGTCATTAAACTTGGTATCACAGAATTATTATGCATTTTTCAATGGATTTTAAATTGTATGTAGTCATATTCAATGAGAACTTCCAAAATGTAAACTTTGTCATAAATAGCGACCAGATTTTCATGGAGTAAAGTCTGGAAAACTTGCAGTACAAAAATCAAAATGTGCAAAATCGTGTAGTAAAAACCCAAAATACTTGAAATTGTGTAATTAACATTTTAAAAAATGCAAAAATCATCTATTTTGTTTAATTTATTATATTAATACATCAAAATCTGATCAAACTGTATAAAATATGGAATAACATGGAAATCCGCCCTCTAATTAATATAATAAATTAAATTAAAATAGATGATTTCTTCATGTTTTTAGTTGTTAATTACTCAATTTTAAATATTTTGTGTTTTTACTATATGACTTTGCATATTTTGAGTTTTTTACTGCTTATTTTTTTAATATTAACAGCAAAAAAATCTCTAGTCATAAATAACAAGCATTTTACTGAATTTGAAAAAAAAACTTTTATTTTCTGAGCTTATGATTGATGTGATGCTAGAAAAGCTGCAATGACTTAAAGAATATTTATATTGAGAAACCTCTCCTAATGGAAACCCCCCCTTACAGTTTTTAAAGGTCCAGAGCGGGAAGTGTAGGGATTTAGATTCCTCTGCAATGGACATCTCACTAACAAACTTGAACAACTAAATTTTCAAGAAATAAATTGAATTCTCAAACTTAATTTTTAATATATTGAAAATTAAGAAAAACATCAGGAGTCCCCAATCATGTGCCCGTGGGCACCATTTTGTCTACCAAACTTGGCCTTGAGCAATCACCATGACTTTACACAGAGCTCTCCACAGACCCAGGTGTAGGTACTCTGACAATATTGGAAAACTGGAGGCAGCAAAAGGATGCACCATCCTGGAAATGAGAAGACTAGCTAAGGGCAGACACGAGAGGACAAAGCAGAATGTTACTGCAACTTCGCACTTAATGGCACACAGGAGTTAGAGGGAAAAGAAGAAGTTGTCTGGCAAACTTTTAATAGAATATTTAATTTTTAAAAATATCTAATAAGTAATTAATTGAAAATAAAATTGTGTTTCTTTGAAAATAGTCGTTGATTGATATCATAGCGTTTTAACAATATTTTCGAGCCAATCTGTCTTACCATATACTTTTTTTATGAAAAAAAAACTAAATTAAAAAGTTAAAAATTTTTCATTGATCAAATCCAATCAATAGTTATGTATATGCCCATCTTTTATTTCGAATTGTCATGTTAATAATCATATGTGGTAAATTATGAATCACTGATCGATGAAATGCTTTATAAATATCACATTATCAATAGCATTTATATTTGTTATAAAGAAATTTTATAACTTGTGTACAGTTTTAATGCATTATTAAATAATTATTTATTGTACATAAGTAATACTTTTTATGTTAAAATTAAAATTATTATTATTATTATTAACAATAACAAACAATGAAAAATGTAATAATGAATACAATTGTTTGCCATTTGATTATTAACCTATAAATGTGCCTACAAGTTTGGGGGCTTGACATATATAATTATTTTACTTTTTGATATAAATACATGTGTACATTTAAATATGACCCCCTGACCAATTCCTCATATCTTATTTAAAGTTATTCTCATATAACCAATAAAATCTAAAGTCATCACTACAAAGAAATTATTTTTTCTTCTTCCGATGTAGTAATAAGGGTTTATTTTAAGCAGGGCAATGGATAAAGCCTTTTGAATATGATCATCTAATTTTTCATGAAGCATTTCTATTTTTTTATTGCCTTTTATCAGTTTTTCTAAAAAATCTTCTTATTTTCCGTTTTTAAAATACTTTTATTCATGTTAAATCCTAAAAATGTCATTTGTATAAATAAAACACAAAATACTATCTATTAGTAAACTTCATTCATTAAAATTAATAAAATTGTTTAGATACATGAATGTAAATATTCAATTTTAAAAAGCACAGTGATATTCCTCTTCAAAGGACAAACTTTTCGGAGCCGTGAATATTCACTGTATTAGAGGATTCACTAACTCATTAGAGTGAGAGGATTCAAGGTATTAAGAAAGTTACATACCGGAAAAATAGAATAATGGAATTTTTATTGTCATTCAAAATAAAGGCAATTAACTCAGCAACAAAAGAGAAATTAAACTGTGGAATTTTGAGTATATTTAATGGTTTTTGAAGAAACAGATTATTAAAAAAAAAAAATGACAAGGAGACATTAAATATTCTTTGACAAAGTTGCAATTTTTCCGTTTCGCTATTGTAATATTTAAATTTAAAAAAATATTACAAAATAGGAAATTTGGTGTTTATTAAATAATGACTTAATTTTTAATACAGACTTTAAACTCTAAAGAAATATGTTAAAAGATCTAAATTTTGATTCATAATTTTTTTTTCATCTAGAAATTATTCTACTTGCTTGGTTATTCCTATGCAGAAGACCACAAGAAATATAATTTTATAGAGAATATTCTTCATTATATAAAGTAAATAGTATTTCATTAATCTTAAAATACATTTTAAATACAAATACAAGTTCAAAAATATTATTTGCCTAGTGTTTCAATATATAGATACAAATAATTTAAGGCAACAAATATTCACAGGAAACATGGAAAAATTATTCAATGTTATGAACCTCTATACATCATAGTAAAATCTTCCCGTATCAGGATCATGCAGTTTAGTATTAAGTACCTTAAATACAATCTTTATTAATATAAAATCAATTTCAGTTATCAAACTTTATAAAAGCATTTTGTTTATGATAACCTAAGAAAACCACATTACTCTTCTGTGATTAAAAAGATACAATCTATCTTATACAATATATTCTACATTAGCATTTACACAAAGGTAAGGCCATTATATATAAGTGGAAATAATATTTTAATACTTCCATTAATTTTATCACAGAGTGTCTGCCATAATGTTTACAAAGTAAAAGATATCCAAGATTTAATGTTCGTTATTGAATCATTTACAGATAATCTAAAACTAATGCGATGTGCATTTATAATTATAATCTTATTAATGTTGGAATATTTAACAGATTGTGATGTTAAAAATATGGCAACATCGACTAAATAATAACATGACTAGAGCCAGGATACGAAATAAAAATACTGAGGTATCTAGCCTTTAAATTAAGTCAATAAGGAAGAATAGTATAGCCTTGATGATATTGATTAAACCTGCCAAAGAAGAATGTGATTGGTCGAATCTTCTCTCCCAGCGAGCTCAGATACCGAGGCTGACCTAAAGTCTTCGTAGCCATCTCCTCCTGATATTATAAGAGGTTTGTCAGAGGCTTTTCCTCTCCGTACTTCCAAGTCAACTGTGGTCAGGAATCTAACATGGCCTGTGTGACCTTGAGGGACACCTGTTGAATTAAAAATGTAATAGTCAGATTAATTTTCAGATAGATTCTATTAATGCATTATGGAGATACAGTGCAATATCAGTGATTTGAACTTTAGAGTCCGAATACTTTAATAATCAGTAGAGATTTCAGATCGTGTACATTGTGTACTTTAAAGGATTCCTTCATTACTGTGTGCAACAATTTTAAACACTCATTTTATTTGCCACAAAGTAATCTAACTACATGTAATTTGGAGTTTTGTAACCATCTAAATCTCCGGACGCATCCTTCATGTCCAAAAATTCTATAGAATGCTTTAATTTGAAAAATCTTTAAGATCTTGTTCATCACTCTATTGTAAGCATTTTTGCATCTATAAAGAACCATAGGAAGGTTTTGTAAATTCGAGATAGGAGGCACAAGCTAAGTAGTTTTGCAACAAAACACTAAAAATCATATCCAAATTCAATCTACCACATATAGTACTGCATATTGTACCACATATTGCCTTCTATATCTATTTCATTGAAATATTGAAGGAAGCTAGTCGACTGTTCTACATATCATGGGTGATAAATATTCAGGAGGCATTCATTATAAAGTTTTTATTGGTTATTGGCAGTGACGTTTCAACCGAAACATGTGGTCATCATCAGGACTTGAATATCTTCAGTGCTCAAACCACATCCTGATGATGACCCACATGTTTGGGTTGGAAACGTCGGCACAAATAAAAAAATTTTATAATGACTGTGTCCAGAATATTCATCAGCCATATTTCATTGAAATCTTCGCCATTTTTGCATTTAACCATTGTTCATATTTATTTTGAATCCCAGTTTTTTACCGGCTTTCATCAAAGTAGTTTTATTTAGTTTTGCAATTTCCATGTCTTGGGTAACAGTACCAAATTGTTTCGATTCAAAATTTTTTTCGGGCCATGTGACCTCTCTAATGGCATATTTTAATGACATGAAGCCATCTTACAATAGAGAAAGAAATTATTCCTTTGTAACAATCAAATGGGGAAGAGAACGTGACTAACCTGCGACCTGAGGTGGAGCAGCTAGCTTAGCTGTGGCTGCAGATAGATGAGGCAGTGGTAAGGTGAGAATCACACCAGCGCTGGTTCCCACCCACAGGAGTTCTTTAGAAGCCAGGAGAGCAGTAACTCTGAGGCAAGCAGCCTTGTGCTGTCGAATAATGTCATCACAGCCTAAAAAAAAAGAGATACATTTTAATTCAGAACTAAGATTAGGTATCAATAAAAATAATTTATATGATGACAATACATTATCACAGTTGCTATCATGGCAGTAATATCACAATATCAGGTTCGATAGTTGAGAGTACTTGACACAGCAGTGGCAGTAACTGTCGTGTTAACTAACATATGCAAATGAATTGACCCAATAAAGCCATTTACATGGATAACAGTGAATTTATCTATACATCTGTAATGGTGTATTAGTAAGAAAATACAATTATTTCTAATCACAAAATTGATCCTATCCAATGTTTTGAGGTTATTCAATTCTTAGAAGAGTAATAAAAGCCATATATTTAGATTTATTTAGTTTAAGTTGGCTGGAATGGCTAAGTGAGCTAAGGTGCTTTCAATATATAATCAAAGTTAAGTTGCTAGTCCACTGAGGAAAGAAATGTTTTGTTTGAGATACTGGAGCCAACTCACCCCGATCACGGATAGGAGTGATGACCTTATCCCTCGTACTTTAATCAGGAATCACAGTATTGTTTTCTGGTTTGTCAATAGCCAGAGGTTTGGTATATGAATGGTCATGTCACAGTTCCAAGAATGTAGAAGCCTACGATTACTGGCCATTAATGATGACACAATCAACAGATAAGAGACTCTGAATAGGGAATTTAGTTCACCTTTGTTGTCAAAAAATAGTGGTATACCTGCAAAATGATGCATGTCTCCGGCGCTCGATGCCATTAGGGACTTCATAACTACTGTCGATCGCCGGAGACCAATATCGTCCGAAAGACATTTAAGAGATATCATGCTCAGCAGCTAATGTGTTAAGTAAACAAATAAAGTATATTTAAAAAAAATATATTTCCTTATCATGGTAATTTAGCTTAATTGAAAGTACAATGAGGCCACTTTGTCTCACTGATAAAGTAGATTACACACTAAGTTATGTAAAAGCTATCTAAATTAGCACTTTTAACAGTGCTATATTTTTCAGCAATTGAAATTAACCTTCTAGAATTTTATTTTATAATTATTATTTTGTTTATGAATAATTAGTTGCCTTTGTTATTTAGCCATCAGCTGTTTTATTGTGTATTTTTTTCAGACAATCATTCTATATTTCCATTCATCCAACTGACCCCAAGACAGAAAAATGCCACTGTGTTAACGAGATTTAAGGTCATTGAGAAAATAAATTTAAAGTATCTGGGTGCTGATCCAAAAATGTTAAGATACCCCCATTTATACAACTGCAAATTTAATCAAGAAAACTAATTCTTATAAATCTTACAATCTATTGGAAAACTAGTATCTATGATACCTACTAGCCAACATCTTGGAGACGGCTGGAGCAACGCTGACCTCAGCCAAACATTCAAAAGACGTTGCATGGTAGAGGCGGACTGTTGCAGAGTTGTGTAAAGATAACCATGCACCGAGTCCTGAACCGACTAAGCATGCTATGCTTCTGTTTCCCTCACCACTCACAGCCAATGAATGCTATTAGTGATAAAAAAACAACAGTTAATATTTAAATTCACCTCATGGGGTGCATAAATAGAAAATGTCTACATACCAAACTTTTTCCATAAATTTTGAATTTTTATTAGATAAACATACACTTTGTATTGAATAAAATTTGTATGTATCGAATGAAAAGTCACATTTATAAAATGTAATTGGGTACTTGTCTAGTATGCGGTTGAGATCGACAGCTATCTGCTAATGTTTATAACTTAAACACTGATAATTCTGTTAATCTTTATCTTCATATTATTGAAATTGTAAACAAAAACATATATCAACATATCTATGAAATAGATGAAAAAAATTGTAATAATAACAAAACAGTTTGATTTAAAATTTAAATAGACAAAAAGAAATGTAATAATTCCTACAACAATAAGAAAATCATCGTTTATTTTGATGATGAAACACTCATCTGTCCTCATGAAACACTCTGCTAAACGTCCATTGTTCAGGTAGAACTTTCCCTACATGATTTTTTGTTTTTACAAAAAAAGACTCGTCTATTTCTATGACTTTGCCAGGCCCTCCAATTTTTTTACTTGATCAGTAAAACATGTTATGGACACAAACCTCTCTAAATTTGTTTCACATTATCATAGTTGTCTTGGATAGTTTCAGCTGCTCTTTGCCTCACTGTATCGTTGTTAAACTATGGGACCACCCATAAATTAATTTTAAAGCCATTAAAAACGAAATCCTCGACTCCTCTAACCATGTTCCTTTTCTTATAGAAATGTTATTGTTACAGGTGGTACAAAAGCATCTCCATTTCGTTTTCCTGTTTAACTTCATTTGATGACCTTATTCACATAATTTCACATTTGGAATTATTTTGATAGCCTCTTCTTTTGAAGACGGCAATTCCCACAATGTAATAACATCTATAATTTGAAGAAAGTCACACAAATGGAACAAAAAATAAACAATGGAATAACTCACAGCTTACATGAGATAAGAAGGGAGGTTATGTGACATAACATTAGATAACAAGGGAGGTTTCGTCCCAACCCACTACTAGACAAGTACCTTCCACCATTTCCAAAGCAATGAAAATTCAGGAAAAATTGTGTTAAATTAAAGAAGAAACTCTGCTAAAAAAAAAAAAAAATGTTGACTTTAAATTCAGTTTAACTCTGTTTTTCTTAATTTTAATTAGTTCTTAAACAAAAATCATTATGTTAAGATGAATATAGTAATGAAAATTGATAAAAGCTGTGAATGAGCTGTTGAAATGTTTGAAAGTTATGGAAAATTTGGTAAAATTTTAATCTTTAAAGTCTGATAAAATAAATGAGGTAATATAAACATATGATACATGTAATACCCTAAAAAATTACTTTGTCTTTATTACCTCTTTAACACTAAAAGTTGACTTTAAACTTTCTATGTTATTCATTTTCTAATACTTAGTCCCTAATTTTTTTTTTTGTAGACTTGAATAGTAAACATATCAAATATCCTTAAAAAAAAATAATAATAATGTTATTTACTGTTAAGAAAAGTGAATTTGGTTGCAAAAGTAAAAACTTTAGGAGTGAGAGGAAATTTCACAAGTGAGTTTTTGTGCTCCTTTTTTTTACCTAGTTCCCTCAGATTAAAATGAAAGGTGTAGGAAATATCATCTATAACTGAAGATATACCAAACTGAAAGCTAGAGAATAAATTATTATAATTGAAATCACTGGAGTTTAAATTGTTCTTTAGGAAACAACCGGTATTAACTTTGATATACTATGGTTGAGTTAACACAAAAAGTGTCTATCATACTAAAAATAAAAAGTCTATTATTTACCTCAACAGCAAAAGAATTAGTGTTTAAGATCTTCAATGAAGTGTGGCATGCACACCACAGCCTTCCTGATATCGGCACCATTTTGGTTACAGGTGCAGAAGGGGTGCTAACATTTATTTTTATTCCATCACTAGTCTTCCAGCTTCCATCTGAAATAGAGAAAAACTATTATTAACATATAAACATATTGAGAATTTCATTTACCAGTATATTTAAAATAAAATTCATCCATTAATGCATTCACATTTATAGTTATTAAGACAATCTAAATGATATTTATTGATTGTTATTATATTTCAGACACTTAATATTTTGCAACTTTCATGTTATAAAGCATTAATTAATTTTAAATATTTTATGTAAATATATACATTGTTGTTTATATATTTTAAATTATATTCTTATTGGAGGCCTAGAGATTTTGAGTCCCAGTTTGGGCGCCAAAATGTAAATTTTTCAGGATAGAACAGTTAGTATAATCAATGGCAATATAAAAAAGAGGTTTTATAGACTTAAAAGATTAGTAATTATAAAGAACTCTTGTCAATCAGTTGATCAGTAGTAAGTTATCAGAACTTACTCAGTATAAGGATTACGTTGTTTGTAAATAGTATTTAATAATTTTGTCAACAAACGTCCATGAATAACTGTGAATTTATTCTACATATATGTATTGTGGAGTGATTTTCTATTATCAATTAGAATATAGAAACAACTGTATTGTTATTGTGTAAACCTCCAGAAGTCCGGAAAAAATCTTAAGTTGAAATAATAACAACAATAATTAATGAATTGTTGAAAAATAATATTGTATTTTTGTTATTTATTTAAGTCCCCTGAAACATTGGAATATATTTTTATGTTTTAAATGTCTCATATAGCAGGAATGATCAAGTCACACTAAAGATTACCGCTGTACACTAGTCAAACATTGAAGCTTGACATTAATAAAGTGGCCCAAAATTATCTTCAGAAGAATTGTAATTTTAGAATTATTAGTAAAAACAATGAGGGTTCACATTTAAATGCTACAAATTTAATTGTAAGTAATATAAATTACTAATCAAATATATATAACTTTTAAAAAATAGGAAACAAAGTCACATTTTACGTAAATGCCTCATTTGTATAAAAATAAATAAAAAGGTAAATTAATTTAACAAAAACTTACTCAGATCTCTTTGGTAAACCATAACATCACCATTTGCAAGAGCAACGTAAACTTTCTTGTCCAAGTGTCTATAAAATAGAAAAATATCACAACTTTATTCATGTAAAGAAACAAATGTAGCGTAGAAATGCTGATAAAAGCAATAACGCTTACATGATAGTATGTACTGGCGAAGTATGCTGAATCTTCACTTTATTTTTTTTTGTTCGTATATTGTCTGTTGAGTTGTATATAAGTATAGACCCATCTTCTGTACCAAGCCACATTGTCCCTGACACTAAATCCTCATTAGAATCTGTCTTATTATCTTCCTTTGGATCTTCATCGTCACTAGATGAGCTACTACTGTGGTAACAAAAATTAACAGAATGTAAAATGTATATAAATTAATGTTAGTTAATATTTTTTAAATATAAATAAAATAAATTTCAGAATACTAATTGTAAATTAAAATTATTAACAAAGAGTAATAACAATACTATATTCTATTTTCTATTATAATTTATTTCTTCTTTTAACTCAAGTAAGCTTATCAGAATATTAATCATATTTGAGCTCTGATTTTCAATAAATCATAAATAATTTATCTTCTAATGAAAATTCAAGGTTTCTAAAAAAAGTTCAATATATAGAGATTTTTTATTTATAGATGTTTGACTGTATACATTATTCTCTTACTAAATATTCATTAGTAAAGTGCTTTACCTATCTAAATGTATACTCGCAGCTGACTTGTCTGTATCTTCTACTGATATACTGATCACACCGCTGTTGCAATTGGTACATGCAGAGCTGTCATTGGTTGATTGCCTACACAAGAACAATGGTGTTTTTAGAAAATAGAATAAACTTCGTTTATATTATATTTAATTATCTTTCCAGCTATGCTGTGCAAGAAGAAGAATAGCATATTAAGTTTAAGTGAAATAAATTTTAACTTTTACTTTTAATGAATAACAATGAACCAACTTATATAAACCGTTCAGTAATATTAGCAAATAAATAGTATCAGTACTATATCTGTAGCATCTAAACCCTTTCCATTGCATTATTTATAGTAAACAAGCATTTAGGTAGTTATCATATGAAGTTAATAAAAAAAATCAAAACCAAATTAAAAAATATTTTATAGCAAACAAAGCTATATCAATAAAAGAAACAAACTGATATTTCTGCTATTAGAGCAAAAATAACGTAATCATTTTGTTATCAATGTATAGAGTTCTCGATCTCATACAGACAGTAATAAAAACATTTGGATAGTATGATTCAATCAATATAAATTTAATAAATCTATTTTTGAAAATAAAATAAAAATTATTAAGGCCTTCTCCAAATTTGATCATGCCTGCGGGGACCAAAAATATCTTTTTTTTTATTATTTTAATCATGAAATTTACAACTGTATATACAAATAAATATACATCCAGTAAATGTGATACAGGGAAATACAATAGCATGAAGACTTGTAGAAAAAAATATCAAATTTAGATTTAATCCCAAAAATTACATTACTTTGTAAATTGGTAATTAAATTGTATTTTTTTATATTTATTCATTAAAATTTTTTTTTCTTACATTACTTTTACATTATACTGTAACATTTACATTATTTTTTGATATATTCTAATATTTCTTTTGGTACATATAGTGTCATTATTTTTTATTCATCATTTGAATTTTTTTATTTTTTTTATAACCTTTTTTATTATTAACCAATTTCTGATAATGTTTGATATGTAAAATTAAAAAAACGTTTCATTGTATGATACATTTTATTACATATACTACAATTAAAAAGATATATATACTTTTGAAAAAAAATTAAAAGTTTTTTAAAATTTTTAACTCATTTTCAACTTTTGTTCTTCAAATCACTACCAATAGCTGTTAGTTTTAGATCTAAACTGTGTTCAAAACACTAGAGAAAGGTGATAAAGGGATGGAAGAAGGTATACGAAGGGTACTCCTCATCGTAAATGATATCCACGACTAAATAATACATCTCACGCTACATAGTGGTTCCAGCAACAACCTATGATTCATGGGTACCTGCGAAAGAGCTCTGTAACAAGCCAGAGTATTGGTTTTGTGCAACTAAATGAAAAAAGCAGAAACCAATATATTGTCTCTGCTCAGCAGGGACATGGTCTTTCCAGAGCCATTATATTGGCTTTTCCAATTTAAAGGGTTAAGAAAATAAAATAATAGCCCCAAAATTAAATCCTGGACCCTCTACTTGCATAAGTCTATTACTTTGTTCTCCATATTAATTATTAAAATTTTATTTTTCTATCAGATATATTTTTTTAGATTTTCATTGTAATATTTTTGTTGAACATAATAAATTATAATGAATGTACTACTATGTTATGTTCCAATTCCTCATTGAACTAACCTTTATTATAATGTTGCGACCAGATATTTTACACATAATACTTCTAAAGGCAAACCTTCAATTGCAAAGGACCTATGGATATCCCATAAACATAAACAAAATAAGCAACTAAATTATAAAATTATAGAAACATACTGTGATAACACTGACCCAGGAACTGGGGCTATGCAGAGGATTCGAGCATTACACACGCCATTACAGGAAGTAACTGTAGGTTCTGATGGACGAGCCAGTGATAACACGCAGACCTGCCCTACGTAGCCATCGCTATTGCATACCCATACTTCGGCTGATGCTGGAGTGGGCCCAGCGCAGGTGAAAGTGAGGCCTGCTCGAGTCTTGCGGACCGGGACTGCTGCCACTAATGCTGGGCATCCTCTCCTTTCTCCACAGGCAGCTATATACAATAAGCACAGCCATCAATAACTTTTGTGTCATATAGTTAACGTTTATTGGTATATAGATATATATATATATATATATATATATATATATATATATATATAAAACATAAGATGCTCGTATATGCTTTAGCATATAAATATTTTAAATCTTGGAACTTAACATAAAATAAACAAAAAAATCTGGTGCGTGGATCACATAAATTTCACTTAGCACTCTACTTGCTAGAAGTTTTTGAAGTGCATTTTTAATGCAGCTAAACCTTAAACAACATATTTTTGATCTTCGGTCATATTCATTAATAAATAAACTTATTAAAAGCATCAAAATAAGATAAATCCTTTTTATTATATCCATTATAGGCATTAACATTATTAGAATATTATTATTATTAAATTATTAGTCTATTTGAATCACATAACTTCAGCCTCTGAGCTCTCTAGACAAGGGGAGATTGAAAGTACATGTATTTAATTATGGATGATTAAAGATCGAACTACATAGTACAAATTATAGTTATTAAATCTTTATAATTTTTTGCATGTATTTAAATCCTTATTTTTTTTTTCTTGGAAAATTTACCAAAATACAGTTACTTGCTTTTAAATTCAGCATGGATAGGTCAAAAGTCATCACACCGATTGTAAGTGTATAATGTGATTTCACAAAGGAAATTTTTGTTGGAATAAATCGATGATGTAAACCTAATTATTTAAATATAATGTCGGATCTAGAGTTATTAAACTACAGTAAATGTATTTTTTTTTATTTATTATTTTATTGAAATTTACTACTGTAAGCATATATACAACCAGTAAATTTGCTATAGGAATATATTACATGACGGTACTTGTGAAGAAGTTACCCATTGGTAACACTTCAAAGATAAATTAATTTAGGAGGTCCCTTGGCCATCTTCTTTTCAGACGCCTAGGAGGGTTGTCAGGAATTGTATTGGATGAAAGGTTACAAACTAGAGGATTGGGGTGCCAAAGAGTTTGGGAATGAAAAGAGATATATCTAGTTCGGGCCAAGTCTTCCACAAGAGGAATATTGAGGTCTTTATGGATAATTTTATTTGTTATATAATAAGGAGCATTTAGGATTTTACGGAGGATTTTGGATTGTAAGAATTGGATACGGGAAGAATTTGATGTTTTTGTAGAGCCACAAAGCTCAATACAGTATGTCCAAATGGGCCTGATGACGGTAGTGTAAATGAGTTTTTTGTAGAATATTGGAAGTTTAGAGTGTTTGTCAAGTAAGTGTTGCAGTAGTTGGAATCTGTTGGCAGTTTCTTGTCTTTTAAGTCTAGTATGAGGATTCCAGGTAAGGTGTTTGTCAAGATCTGTTCGACAGGGATCAGTGGAATATTGTTAAAGGATACGGTGGGACAGGATGTTGTAAGTTTACGACGAAGGGTAAAAGTAATTTATTGGGATTTCTTTGGATTAATTTTAATTCTCCAATTTGCACATCATTTTTCAATGGCTGAAATGTGTGACTGCAGGGTTTGTAATGCAATAGTTGGTTCATTATTGACAGACAAGACACACGTGTCATCAGCATAGGTAATGAGGACGATTGAAGGATAGGTAGGGATATCAGCTGTATATACTGTGTAAAGGATGGGACCTAAGATGCTCTCTTGAGGAACACCAGCGGACTGAGAAAAGAGAGGTGAATAAGCAGAGTGTAAATGTATTTAAGGTTATAAACATATATTTTACCCATCCATGAAATATTTTTATATTTCATTTCTTCTTTCACACAAGTACAATGAAATAGTGTTTTAAACAATGTCATTGCCTTGATTTGGTGAATTTTAAATATTTTTTTTCTAACTTAAAAAAATTTAAAGTTTACATTTATTAAGAAAATTTCATTTAATTTCTTTGGAAACATGTGATTTACATTAAATAATGTTAGTCTTCAGAAATTATTATTTATATATTTTTCGTCACTCTCCATTACCTTCTACAACTTTATTTATTAGATATTATGTTTTCGAAAAGTCTCTGTATCCCAACGATATATCCTAAGGCGTTATAAATAAGTAGGATAAGACCTAGTTGAGATTAAAGAACACTTAATAATAAACTGATATACCGAGTATAACCAAAATTGTTAGAGCCGTTTTTGAGAAAATCGTAAAAATGTGTAAAACCGATGATATAAAGTGCCACTTCCAATTTACTGATCTCAACAAAAAAGTTGCTGTTACACCCGTGGCATATACAAACTTTGGATACACAATTTCAGTTTCGTATGGCTTTTTATTTTAGAGGTAGATGAACACACACCATTTTGTGAGACTTGGTTATTTGTACTCAGTTACTTAAAACGTGTATTTCTGTTGAAAACGCAGATTTGAAACTTTTCACGATCGCAATACTTTCTCTTACAATATATTTCATTCATAAGTAAGTGAAAGTAAAAATATTAAATATTATTGACATAAGCTTGATAAGAGAAGCTGAATAAATCAGCTTAAAAGTACTTCCTATTAATTTTTTGAAATTTTTCTAGTTTAGTTACTATTTATTAACACATCACAAACATAGCTCTTAAAATGACATCTTATGATAGAGTTTGTTAGATGTATATAAGGAAAATAAGAATATAAATGTTATGCATGTTATAATTTTCCTCACCTAAACGATTCTTAGCTTCTGTAAAAACTTCTTCCCAGTTTGTCCTCTTTTCAGGCTTAGAGAAGATCAGGCCGATATTTTCAACACCATTCCTACACATTATTTTTCTTTTGTAAATAATATGCCCATAAATATTATAAATAAAATGAAAGTTACTATAATTAATATATTTTTTCCAACCAAATAAGTCTTGATAATAATGACTTACGGTGTGGTGATATTGAGATCAAGATGACTAAGCTGAGAATCCGCTGAGTGACGATCACACAGCTGGCGGTTGAGAGCAGCCAACATGTCCCTGACTGTCTCTTCGAGGTGGGAATGAGGACAATGGAGGTTGGCACAGAGTTCAGACATCTGGGACAGTGTACCAACATCAGCTGACAGCTGCTCCATCTCCTTCAATAACCGGCGAACATTCTCATCTGATAATATTTTAAAAATAAATTTCTTAAATAATATTAATTTGACTAAAAAAAGAACAGTTGAAGTATTGAAATGCAAATATAGTTAGTATGTTTTATATTAGATTAATTTACTTAATTTTTACAAAAGTAATTGAGCATGGAAGTATTTTTTTAAAATTTAATATAAAATAATTACATCCCTGTTTTATACACATGATGTGAATGTGAAACCAAGTGTACCTGATTAAGTAAACAACAACCAAAATTTGTGTGAAAAATAAAAAGGCCACATATAATAATAATAATACAAGGCTTAGAGAACCCAAAGGTTCAATGCCGACTCCACCAATCGCAGTCTACACACCTCCCTCCACCGGTCGCCATCCAAACCCAGTCCCTTCAGATCAGCCTTAATGCAATCTTTTCACCTTTGCTTCGGTCTACCTCTTGGACATTTACCAGTCTGCACAGCAAATATTAATCTTTTAGAAATTCTTTCTTTACTAAGTCCAACAATTTTACAAGCCTATTTAATTTGCCGTGATGTAATAACCTCAATTATATTAATTGGATACAATTCACGGAAATGAGGCGTTGTGTAAGCATCTGAACTCTCCCGTTAACTCATCCTTCTTCGGTCCGAATATTCTATGCAATACTTTATTTTCAAAAATCTTAAGACGTTGCTCATCCCTTGATGTAAGCAGCGATGTTTCGCATCCATAAAGAACCGTAGATAGGATAATAGTTTTATAGATTCTAATTTTTAAGTTCCAGGACAGGAGGCGCGAGCTAAGTAATTTTGTCAGAAAAATAACAAGCATTTCCCTTCTTTAGCCTAACCTTAATCTCCTTTTCAATTTCGTTTTTTCTAGGTATCGTAGACCCTAGATACCTAAACTTCTCTACATTTTCAAATATATTACCTGTAAATGCTTCCAACACTGCTCTTTCTTTACCCTGAAGAATATTAAAAAATTCTCCATCATTAAAAAGCTCACGGATTTGTGGACCAACAAATACACCCTCTTTAACCTTAGCTTCACTTAAGCGAAGAAGTTTTCCTCTCAAGTACTTGAATGCCTCTCCTGATTGGTCCATTCCTTTGACAACATTTTTCATGAGCCCTAACTTTATATGTAGTGGGGGCAAAATGATTTTTCAAATGTTTTCTACAACCACAAGAGCGTTGTAGAGAACATTTTTTTGTCCAGGGGTAAAGACTTCTCTTTGAGGCCATTCTTACCTGATGTAATGAGATGCTCTGTCCCGACTGTCCCACTCACATAAGAAACAACAGAACTTAGTAAATCCCCGTTGCATGCCTAGAAGAATTGCCACCACTTTCAGGTCCCCACAGATTTGCCATTGGTAGTCCTGGTATTTGATGGATTCTATTTTAGAAGGGTTTCCATGTTTTGGTAAGTTTTCTTCATGTGATTTGCATGACCAATAGGGATAGAGAAGTAAATTGCCATTGTTCAGAAGAACTGCCTTAAGAGATAGCTTTGATGAATCTAGGAACAGCCTCAATTCATAAGGTTTGTGATTGGAATTTAATGCTGTTATCAGACCTGGAACATCACAGCAGGCAACAAGGTTCTCATACTTTTTGAAAAACGGGATCAAGTCTTTCTGACAATTTCTGTACATGTAATCTTTACACCAGGTTGTAAGAAGTTCCATTGCTTCTATCTTGAACCCAAAAATTCTGCTTTCTCTTTGGGCAGATTGAGGTCCCGAATCAAGTCACTGAGTTCAGCTTGAGTAAGCAAGTGGGGTTTTCGTTCGAAAGAAAAAAATCAGAATCATCTGATGGGGTTACTCCTAGGGGATTTTCCTCTTGTTATCCTCGTCCTCATTGAAGTCATAGTGTTCAGCAGGCTTTGGAACAGGCAATTCGTCCCCGTGTGGTATTGGCCGTATAGCAGAAGGAATGTCAGGATACTTCACTTCAGATTCCATGATGAAGATGAGGGGTCATGCAAAAGTAGCAGTTGTCAGTGTGATTAGTAGGCTCCCTCCACACCATGGGAACAGCAAAACGCATTGAACGACCTTTCTGGTTCAACCATTCTCTTAAGGATACACTACTTGTGATGCAGCAGATATGCCCACGGTTTATCTTGGTCACCAACCTTCACCCCAAAATACTTGTGGTATGATGTCTTGATCATCTAGGTGATAGGTCGTTTTTGACTTGCAAAGGTTACTTCCTCACAAATGTAACAAAAGTTGTCAGGAGCATTCACACACATCCTGGGCATTGTAACTTCACCAAAACTACTGGGTTATCATGACGTTATCATGAAGAAAAATCACGTCAAGAATAACTTGAAATGTTAACACTGCATACAACTGTTAGCAAAATGGTTCTGTGATTCACAGCTAGTTGTTTCCCCCTATTCACAGACAGAAATCAATCCTACCAACCCAGGAGGAGGAAATTTCCCCATATTATGCAAAAAGTAACTATATCTTTGAAACTAGAGCTAACTGATGATTTTTATGTGGAAATTCGTATTTCTCACACCAAAAACCATGGAATGAGGCTGTTTTCAAGTGAGATACAATATCAACGTAGAGCAGTGTTATCAATGGGAAGTTGTGCTAGCGTAATAGCCTACAGTATTTTATAACTTAAATAAACACTTAAGCCTTTCATATTAGAATAGATATTATTTTCTACAACTTATAACCATATTTCTGCCAGTAGTTAAATTTTGTAATGTTACCATTAGATCAGTTCATATTTTCCTAGTTTTCAAATGACAATATTTTCAAACAATGCACAATTAATTAGGAACAAATATAGCCAGGGGGATGGGAGGATGGGCACATAAAGGTTCAGGCAAGACAAGATATTGACTCATTCAGGAAACTGAAATGTAAAAGTCATTTATATTATACTAATTTTGATCTCACCTTTTACAATTTCCAATTCATCGAGTGGTATTTTCATGAGAAGTTTATATTTGTTACCCTCCAGGCTGCTTATGACACTGCTTGGAGCATTCCTGCCAACAGATCAATATCAATTACAACATAAATTAAAATAAATTATATAATGAAAAGAAAGAAACAAAAAAAGGATTTGGGATAGCCAAATGAGTTAAAGTGCTTACAAAAGAGTACCTACGTACAACCCTTAAGGTTTCCACTTCAAATTATGGTTTGATTTTTTTATATCAAAAAGTATTTAATTCTGAAAAAAAGTATATAAAATAAAACAATGTACAATACATGATGGAAACTAAAATAATATTTTTACTTATTGAAAACAAACGCCTTAATGTTCTTACAGATAAATAAAATTTCATTTCTAAATGTTATTATTATTTTATTTTATTTTTTTTTAAAACTCCTGTTAACTAAACAATTTCATGGACCCCGATGGGAGGAGTTTGATCTATTTACTTAGAGGATTTTTTTTAAACAAATGAAATGAAGTAATTTTGATGACAAATATATTGACCGCCAATTTTTATGGGTAAAAATGACAATCTAATGAAATCTCACAAATATTGAACAAGAAAAACAACAGAATTAAATTTACAATCGATTGAGCAATTCAGGATAGTATAAGATTTATAGATTGGATTAATATGTCCTATTCTTAAAAAAGGCAGCAAGGATCAGTGCATAAATTACAGAGGACTAGCCCTATTGGGAGTCCTATATAATCAAACTCCTTTCTAGTTTAATATTATAAAGGCTGCGAAAATATGCTGAGAAAATTTTAGATGATTACCAATGTGCTTTTAGAGCTGGCCGAGGTAATACAGACCAAATTTTTCTTATGAAACAAATGATGGAAAAATGCTATGAATATGATATCGATCCGCACTTATTATTAGTTGACTACAAGCAGGCATTTGATAGCATCAAGAGATTAGCACTGTTAAGAATGCTAATGAAAAATGGAGTGCCACATAAACTAATTAATTTAATACTGATAACATGGAAAATGCATCATCCAAAGTTGGTCGATTGTTGAAGGTACAATCTGGAGTGTATTGAGGAGATACCTTTTGCTATTCAACATAGCTCTGCATGCTGCTGGGAAAAATGCAGCTAAAAAGCTAAGACCTGGCAAATTTGTATTTACACTGATGACCTGGCGATTGCTGCCCGAAGTGAAAAGGCACTTAAAGAGGCATTTTAGATCATATACGAAAATGGCAACAAAGTAGGGCTTGTGGTCAATAAAAACAAAACTAAATACCTGAAACTGTCCTCGGCAACAAGTAGAAGATCCTGCAATGAAATCAAAATGAGGAATTTCAGGTTCGAAAATGTACCCACATTTGTGTATCTCAGTTCTGTCCGAAATGATGAAAATGTACTCAGCAGAAAAATCAACAACAGAATAATGGCTGGTAATAGAGCCTACAATGCAAACCTATAACTTCTCAAGTCTCCATTATTATCAAAAGCCACAAAATTAAAGCTGTATAAAACACTTATTAGACCAGTAGTCACCTATGGAGCGGAAACCTGGTGTTTATCGCAAGAGGATTGCTTTAACCTAAAAGTATTTGAAAGGAAAATAATAAAAAGGATTCACGGTGCTACAAGTGTTAATGGTGAGTAGATAAACAAAAGTAACAATGAAATCAAGTCTATACTAGAAAATCAAACATTATTAACTATATCGAGACAAGTAGGCTGAGATGGGCAGGACATGAGATCCGAATGGAAAATGAACGAGTACAGAAGAAAATATTGGAAGCACACTTCCAGGATGAAAAGGAGGAAAGAGGAAGGCCATGAAGCAGATGGAAGGATGAAGTTCATTTGTCTTAGAGAGACCAAGGAAGTAAGGAGTTCGCAATTGGAAGACAGAAGCACAGGACGGAGAGAAGTGAAGAAAAATAACTCAGGAGGCCAAGAGTCATGCTGGCATGTAGCGCCGGGTTGTTACTTAAAAGATTTATGGACATGAAACTAATTTTTAGAGATGGGAAAATAATGTCATATAGAGTTTAATGTAATTAGCTAAGTAGGCACATTTACACATTAAATCAATATTATAAAAACTTACTGGATAGGCTTCTTAATTGTACCACTCCTCCTTTTAATACTAGTTATAATGAGAAGATCAGAGAACAAAAAGAGTGCTCGATCTTTACGACCCTGAGAAGTAGTAATTGATACCTAAAATCAAAAAACTTTAGATAGAACAAAAAAAATTTTGCTTTAAAATTATTTTCCTGATGATGGCCAGATAATATTATCAAATAGCAGAAGTAGTTAGGAAGCTTATAATGACTCATTTATCGTAGACTTAGGAAGTACATTTTACCTATTTATAATTGAAAATTCATTTTTTTTTATTTTTAACAAAAAACAACTGAACTTTCAATTACAAGTAGGTAAAATGTAGTTCCTAAGTCTAAGATACATGAGTAATTTTAAGCTTCCTCACTACTTGTGCCATTTGGAAGTATTATCTAGCCTTCATAAGGAAAAAGTTGAAAAAAAATTAATTGTATGTATTAACTCAAATAAAAGAATATAAGCATACTAAGAGAAAGCAATAGCTAGAAATTCACTAACACTGGCAATTGTTTGAATGAGGTTTAAACATACCACAGAGGCTTTATTATTGAAAATCAACAATAAGTTGGTTTCTTTGTGAACTGACCTGATCATGAGAGAGAAAGGTACGCTCAGGAGATGCTAAGCCGGCTAATCCTTCAATCAGCGACTCGAGCTGACAGAGCTCTTGACTAAGGCCCCGACCAGCACTCCGCTGTCCCAGGTTGATTGTCACAGCTAAGTCATGAATAGCTTGCTGGGCTTCGAGGAGGGTTTGAGCATCACTGTGACATTCGTCAGTATGCTTCAACAATGTCTGCAATCAAACACCAGTTCAGCTTGTCAATGCTTTTTAGAAATATACAATTCCAAAAAATATAAAACTAAAACTCAAAGCATTAAAAATAGTAGATATAAACCTATAACAATGATGAAATTGTAGACTGTAGGCAATACGGTTGGAAATTGTAGTCAGCGAGAACACAAAAAATAAAAGTAGTTCATAATAAAATAAAAATCTTTTATTTTTATTTGTGTGTTCTCACTAATTGCAATCCCAAAACAACTTGCCAACCATATAAATCTATAATGCTACTTTTGGGGTAGCACAGTTTTCAAAAGATTTTTCTCTTATAAACTTTTATATGTGTAAGATTAACAGAAAAGCATAATATGAACTCAGATTTGATATTTTATAACCGAGCAAAATAATGTTTCTAATGATATTGATGTAATATAGTATTATTATAATGTTTGTATTATAATGATAATATACAGAAATAACAGAAGGATAAAAATAAAAGAAAACTATTAGACGGCATTGAGAGGGTGTACCCGGAGGGGTCAGTGCTGGTGACAGCATCTATGGAAACTTGTATTTAATGAATTGTTCAGCCCTTTGGAGGCATAGAAGTGCGGTTCCTGGGAACAGCATATCCAGCAGCAGTGGTTCAAATAGCAAGGCTAGAGTCTTGGCAAAAACAGAAAAGGTACCGACGTAGTTGCCAGTTGACACGAGAGAAAAAGGACAAGGAAGGCCTCAGGTAAGACACAGGCCATAGCTCTTCTAAACTAGAAATAACAGAGCTCACCCAATCAACATAAAGATCCAAAGAACGAAGCGTAGGGCAAGAAACGAGGTCACCTACCTTGGCGCCAAAGTAAGGAAAAAAGATGGACATGATCCTTCACAAAGACTACTTTGAGTCAAGAGTAAGTCAGACTATGAATGGACCCAATTGAGTAGGAGAAGCCTTTAGGACCTCAGATACCGAGTAAATATTGTTATATTAAATATATAAATATTGAGATAAGCCTCCTCATTTTGGAATAAAAATCTTTTGGAGTCGCAGAAAGGGAAATAGGTGATAGTCCAGAGGATGGCCTATAAAGGGGAAAAAAGTTAATAAGATGTTACATGAGGCAGTGCAGATCCTAGCAGGGATGGCTCTCGATCTCCTGCTGGGAGAGGATGCCACCAGATACTTGGTAAAGAGAAGAGGATTATGGCAGTCCTGGAGAACTTGAGAGTGAGCATTGAGGTAAAACACAGATGGTGGAAGGAGATCAATTGGAAGGACTCGCTACACTAATGGTACCGAAAATGAACAACGACTAATAAAGGTGGAACATTACGAAAGTTTTACCCAACGGTTGAATCCAGGCTTAAGGCAATGTTAATCCTCCCTGACTACAGGATGTCTCAAATCCTCATTGGGCATCAGGGATTCAGATGGAAACTAAACAATCAAGACAAAGATGCAGACCTCCTGTACCCCAGTTGTAGAGTCCCAGAGAATAAGGAGCATGCAGTGGCATTCTGGACTGCATATGATGTTAAAGCGAGGTTATAATATTTTAAATTTGATATCAAAGATGGGGATGCATGATATAACTAAGAACGATTCCCCTGAACTTGTCAGCGAACATAACTACATGGTGTTGAAGGAATAAATAAATGGAAAGAGATGATTGGAAGAGAATGTTTTAATTAATAGAAGAGGCTCAAAATACCAGATAGGCCACCAAACAGGAGAGCAGATGAAGCAGAAACAAACAAAGCTGAAGAACTGAATACAGTTCTTAATTCTCTGATGAGATGAATACAGTAGAGGGAAGTGGAACCAGAACTTGATAAGAAAACAAAGGATAAAAGTCAATAAGGTAACCCAACAATGAATATTCTAAAATTATTGCAAAAAATAAGACAATAAAAATAAAGTGTTGTTTATGGCAGTAGCAGCATGCATAATTCCCTTGCACTATGCTGCTACTGCCGATAAGTTATAACAGAGAAATATTGTTTTCAAGAGGTACTCACCTGTATCAACAGCTCATACCTAGGAATTCGCTGGACTGGCATAATCAGCAACGAGTCGAGTGCCAGCTTTCCTTTATGTTCTCTAGCCATGTTCTATAAAATAGATATTTTCAGAGAATATGCATTCATATATATTACACGTATATATATTAATTGAGAGGAACTAGTTGTGAAAATAAGATAAATACCTCAAGGAACCGAGCAAACGCTGGCTTTGATTGGGTAGAGGCCTTGATGGCATCTTTTGCATTTTTCCAATTGTTAATAAATGCGGTGTAAGTATCTATCACAGATTGCTTTGTAAACTGAAACAAATTAATATCAATCAATAAATTGATGTACTAGCTATGTAAAGCCTAAAGGGGAAAACAATTATATTTACTAATAGGAGATTTATTCAATATAAAATAAGTGAATAGATCTTCAAACAAATTTTGTACTATTTACACAGGTGAAACTGTTTATTTATACACCTAAAGAGAATATTATTATTTTCATAATGTGCAACTGTTTAGTAGGAAGTCTGGACTAGTACATTGAGTCCTTAGATCTTATTTAACAGCCTTCCTCCACCTCATCATCTCTTCTTGTGCCATGGATTTCTTTGGTGAGGATTTTTTTTTTGGAATTAGGATATTTACCATTCTTGCCATGTGATGAGACAAATAGTACAGCTCATTGTAGTTGTCATGATTGACTACAACTATTGAAGAAATTGAGGAATTATAGATAATATCTCTATACTTCACCTAATTTTTTGGTGCGAAAGATATTTTGAAGAATTGTCCTTATAAACACCAGAAGATTGTTCTTATCAGCCTTTATTAAAGCCAAGTCCTGCTCTTGAAGAACTTCCTTAAGGAACTTTTAGACGACTCGAACTTACCTAATAAATTGGGTAGAGAGATAGAAGGGTAACCCCACCACCAGGAAGTGAATTGTGTTTAGATGGTCCGTCCTGATTACCATTCCATCCATTTTATTAGTATTGTACTTTGTTGACAGTTCACAGGTCTTTTAATGAAGACAGATTGTCTGTGTGGAAAAAGGCAGTAAATAGTATGCGGTATGTCAAAAGTAAGGGTGAATTAGTGGGGAAGGAGGATCCAATATTGGAAGAAAATTCCATTCAACTTCCCTACCCAAAATGTTAGATTGGGAAGAGTCATTTACACAATCTGACCCAACTTGTCAAGTTAGGTCGGATCATCAACAACCTTTTAGACTACATTAGCATTATTACTATTCGGCAGCATTAATTTGTCTTCTAATGTTGTTGGACATGTCATGTGAACATAGTAGGAATAGAAAAAATCTCGAACCACAAGAACTGATATCATTGGGAGTGTTGTTGACTCCAAGAAGAACATATGTAGATTTGATTATATTATAAGGATTAATTACTATACTAAATACAAATTAGGAGTTAATCAACAGAGTTCTGAAATGATAATTTTTAAATAATAATTAAATATTTTTTAGAAACATCAAAGTATGTTAGATACCTACAGTTTCTAAAAAAAGATCTCCGACTTTCTGGTTGATATCCCAAGCTTCCAATCTTCTCCGCAGTTCTTCAAGGAAAATTTCATGGTGCATTAGGATCTCTGGTATCTATTGAACAAAATCTAATTATTACATTATGTTAAATTATTAAAAAATGTATTTAGTGGCTTTCTGTAATAAATCAACAATATTTAATATTAAATATAAGTTTATGATTAACATACTTGATAAAAGATCTCATCGACGGTTCCTGCATCAATTAAGTAATTATTCTCAGACTTCTTCAAAGGCTGGAGATATTTCTGTTTAAAAAGAAATAAAAATGGATTATACCTTAAAATCTCATTTAAAAAAATAAAATTAATATATATTTAATACACATTTTTAGCTTATTTATAGATAGAATAGATAGAAAAATAATTTTATTCTGGGACACAGTCCCTTGAGAATAACAAAATAGAACAAAATTAAAAGATCACATCTGGCCAAAATAAAATCAATCGAAAAAAAGAAATAATGTAAAAAAAATATAAGGTAAACATTCTATATAAAAAAAAAAACGAAACTATATACAAAACAATTAATACTATAACAAGGCACTTAAAGCTATTTATCAGTAAAATTTACTATATTATGCCTTGAGAAATCTGAAAAACAAGATTCTGTTATAGTTTAATTAATTTATCATTTTAATTTAAATTAGGAACTACTTCATAATATAAAATTAAAAGAATCAGTCACTTGCATATTTTTACGGAGAAACAATTTATCAGGTGGAATGAATCAATTTACCTTACAATAAATTTTGAAAGTGGAAAACATGTGTGTAATTTTAACAGTTCTGATGAAGTATTTTGACTTATCAATATGAATTGCGAGTGAATAGGAATATTTATTTTTTTTTTGTCCACTTCTTCCTCACCTTTTAGACTATACGGGGTTTCTAACTTTATTCAAAAAATGATATTCTTTTTGAAAAATAAACGAATGTATAGCCAATGCGTGGTGAAAAATAATGTTCGAATCAAAAGTCGATTCATCATGAAATTTCATGTAGAATCCAACAATAATGATTGTCATATAAGGTCTAACCTACATCGTGTATAATGCATATTTTAAATATAATCATATTATTTCCAAGACAAAATTTGGAGATTTAAATGTAGTATAAATTATAAGAAGGTTATTAACAAAGAAATTGAGGAGTATTTTTTTATTTATTTATTTTTTGTTAAGTCTGTAGGATTTAGGCGGAGTTAGAAGCAAGATATAAAATAGTACCTTGAAATAAGAAAAACAAGTTGTGACAAATAACTACTGAGACACACTGATAATATTTTTGATTCATTGTATCAAAAGAAGTACTTTCGTTTCCCAGAGAAATAAATTATGTTTTTTTCCAGTTTATTTTATAACCTTTATATTAAAGATAAATTTACATTTGATCTATTTAATTATAAATCAAATTATATTTTTACAAATACATATAGTGAAATTGAATGATCTATTTACCATGACTAGAGTCTGGAGTGATTCCACATAGGACCGCTCCGTTTCATACAACTCAACGACCACATGCGTCCGAGTGTCCTGCAACCAAAACCTAAGGTAAAATTAACTCATCCTTATTCAAAACATTAAACAAAATATATATTATAAACATTCTAAAAATATGTAATAAATATTTATAGTAAATAATTATACAAAGTTTTTATATCTAAATAATATACATGAAGCCAATACCGGATCCAGGATATAATTTTGAGGGGCTTGGATTTTTTTTATAACTGTAATTAATCCGGAAGAAAAAAAAATTAACCAATATGAAATGATGTTTAAGGGATCCTTTAAGGCATAAAAAAAATCTAGTGCGCTGTGCGCATCACACAATTTTCACTTACTCTCCTCTTAGCAAAAATAAGTATTTTCAGACAGAAGGAAGTGAAAGTAAAAATTGAAGACAGTATGAAACATTATTTAAAACAATTAATTACCATATATGTTTTTATAGCTGTCTAATGTATTATATTTATTTCCCTTGGCACTAGCTATTTCCTTATTTAGCATATTTCAATTATTTATTTGGTTATAATAAATAATTAAGTGCCACAAAATATTTTTGGTTCGACAAGAGTGCCACTGATAAAGAAGGCCACTATATTTATTTATATTTCATTGTAGATATTTTTATTTGTTTAATTACCAATATATACGGGGTGTTCCGTAAGTAAAGAGAAATTATTATAGAGATGATAACAGACATTAAGGCCTACAAAAAAAATCATATCAACAATGAGCCAATTCTGAGCAGAAAAGTAAGAAATCCAAGTTTAGGTTTTTTAAAGTAAGTAATGCGTTTTGATGAATAGGAAGCGATGACTAGAGAAATATTTAATTTAAGTAATTGACTATTGTTTAACTGTAAAATAGATCAAATTTTCTTCAAATGGAATTAGAGCTTGTCATTGTTAAAACCATTTAAAGAGGACTTTTGAGCATTTCAGAATTTGTTAAATTTTTATTCCAAATTAAATTACAATTCCATGGTTAGCTATATTTTAATATAGGACTAATTAGTTTATCCGATAAACTAAATTTATTAAACGTTGAATCAAATTTTATACTCAATATTTCATTAAATTTATCATGTGTAACCAATTACACAAAAAGGAGTAGATTTCCATTAAAATAATTATTTGTACGCCATAACTTGTTATTAATAATCTTAAGTGTTTTTAAATAAAAGTATCTATATACGAATAACTAAGAAAATTTAAGAAGAAATGTTAAAAAGTAATTTGTGATGTTTTTTTAAAGATTTCATTACGGCTTTTAGCTTTTACAATATTGGAGTGGTACCAATGGGTTGTTTCTCAACAATTCCTTTGTGTCAAGTCATTATATTTCTCTGTGTCACATTTGTTAGATGTATTTACATTTGAATACAATTTTTAATTATTTTTTAAACATCAAATATTGATCTGCACCTGTCCACGAACTGTTGACAAACAGCAGATGGTTTGTTAAAATTAATGAAACTGAGATACAATTGTAAATTTCATTAATAAAAACAAAAATAAAATAAAGTTTTCTCAAACAGCTGCATATGGATTTGCGCAAAAATGTATTGCGTATAATTGATATTTATATAAATAATATAATAATAAGGCTTAGCGAACCCGAATGTTCGATGCCGACATTCTTCCATACACCGGGCTTCATCTAAACCCAATCTCGCCAGATAAGCCTTAACGCAATCTTCCCATCTTAGCATAGGTCTGCTCCTCGGACGCTTTCTAGTCGGCACAGCGCATTTAAAGTTTTTAGGAATTCTTTTGTTACTAAGTCTAGTGATTTTACATGTCCATTTTATTCGCCTTAACTTTATCATCTTAATTATATTATGTGGATACAGTTGATGCAATTTAGCGTTGTGTAACCGCCTAAATTCTCCGGTTGAATCGTCCTTTTTCGATCCGAATATTCTGCGCAATAGTTTATTTTCAAAAATCTTAAGAAGTTGCTCATCCCTTAATGTAAGCGGCCACGTTTCGTATCCATAAAGAACCGTAGAAAGGACAATGGTTTTGTAAATTCTAATTTTTAAGTTAATAACAAGCATTTCCCGCCTTCAGCCTAACGTTAATATCCTCTTCAATTTCGTTTTTTCTATTTATCGTTGACCCTAGATACCTAAAATTCTGTTCGTATTCAAACACATTCCCTTCTATATCGATATCATCGAAATTGTCGCTGTTGCAGCAAACCATATATTTTGTCTTATCCGTATTTATCTCGAGTCCTAGTTCTTTACCGGTTTCCATCAATGTTGTTGTATTTAGTTTTATAGTTTCCATGTCTTCACTTAACAGTACCGAATCAGCAGAATATCTAAGCACGTATATTATTCAAACTTTTTTTCGGTGTGTATCGCCTCTCTAATGGCATGTTCTAATGCCAAATTAAATAAGACAGATGAAAGAGAATCACCTTGTTTTAAGCCCGAACGAATCTATAATTTCTCGGATAAATAATAACCGATTTTAACTTTATTGAGTGTTTCCATCAATCACATCCTAACTAGATTCACTAATTTTTTTTTGGGATCCACTGACTGCTTGATTAGAATATTATATAAATAATATAGTTTAAATAAATGTTTACATGTATTGAGGTCTCGTTTAACGGAATTGAGAAAACACAGTCAATGAAACGGAGGCTTTTATTTGATACATAAAATAACATTAAAACAAGACATTATTTTTAATTGTTTTTAAAATTTGAAAACTCGCCATCTTTGATTTTCTTCAATAAAATAAATGTTATTCAGATATAAGTTGGTTAGATTCATGGCCAAATTTCAAATTGGAGAACGATAGGATCAAATAAAATCTAGATATAATTCATTAATAATCAAGTGAAGATATTGTTCCCAGATGCACATAAATGTGTTTTCATAAATCGTAAATTTTTTGAAGAAATTAAAGGAAGTAAATTCTATAATACATAGTTGTTTATTTATTTTATTACCAAATATTATTTTAGGAACTCCCGGAGAGAAAATAATTTCAAGGATAGATCTCTTTGATACGATGACTAACCAGTCTGTTCAGTTCAGACAAGGAATTGGAATTTATCCAGAAGTACATGTTTGAAAAAGATAATTATTTAAAATAGTAAAAGGGTTAGATATTAAAGATTTGAAACTACAAAAAAGTATTGCCCCATCATCTCATGTTGTAATAAATTAAATAAATATATATGAAAAACGTATTTTACAATTCGATTTAGTATGACAAATTACACAAAGTATTAATCTCATTAAAATTTTTATGAGGAATGAACAATCGATATTCAGAGAATTGAATAGGGTTTGAATTTAATAATGATTTTTTCCCACAAAATTATGTAATAATTATTATATTTGATTTTTAATTTAACAATTATGGCTGATTTATAAATAAAAACATAAATCGATGTTTCATGTTTTTTGATTCGATTAAAAATAATGATCACTCATTGAGTGATATGGTTTTACGTAAATAATAAAGATTAAATTGTGATAAAAAAAATATTGTTAAAAAAACAAAAATCACCTTTTATACAAAAATTCAATTAAATATTAATATGTATGGATACGTTATTAATATACACATTTTTTAATATTATACTTCTGAAATTGCTTTAATTGTACACTGTACCTGCACAATGTATGTATGTATATATATATTTATTTTTTTTAAGCCAAAATTTTAATGATTATGGAAATAAAGATATTCTGTAGCTAGTAGTGGACAACAATATTCTCCACCTATTACCCTAGACTCTTTAATTAATTAATTATTAAAAATTTATAATATTTATATTTCTGATTTAAAAAAGTATTACTCAAGAATTATTATTATTGTAAATTGTAAAAATTTTGTTCAAAAATAATGATCAGGAGATGATTTTTATCACTTATGATTAAAAATAAATATACCTCTTAATAAAAATCATCAAATGATTTTTAAAAGTTCTAGATAAAAACTTTGATCAGATTTTTTTTTTTAAAATAATTGGTAAATGGTTGACTGTCGTGGATAATGAAGAGAAGAATAGTTGGGGTGGTCAGTCAAAAAAGGCAAAAATAAATGATAATATTTATTTTTTATTTTTTTCCTTTATTTTTTAAATTATAGATTTCAAACATTTCGTCCCAGTGTGTGTAGTATAAAACTGAAATTAAATTATTTAAGGTAGCTATGGGATTGTAACAACAACGTGTTGTCTAAAATCGATTTACCGGAAATGCTACTTAATATCATTGATTTTACGAATTTTTACAAATTTATCGTCTTTAAAATTAAATTTGAAATTTAATGGTCTTTAACATAAGTTAGGTCTAATTAGGTTTTTCAGAAGGACGACCTAGGGTCCACACGTCAAAATGAAACGACTTAAACAAGCGATTGAAAATACTGAACTCACTTTTTTAAAAATCGAAATTGAAGGTTCGACAAAAACTAAATACATACACTTATCTACTCATACCCATCTGGACATACGCCTCTCAGATATTTCGTTTAGCAAAAAAGACGCACTTACAAAAACTATAATCACTGCAATCCAACATTTTACGACTTATAACAGTAGTTTCCTGGTACGTAAATAACAAAACTTTACATAATGACTCACGGCAACCAACTATCGACAAACATACGTACTCTCTATTCTCAATTTCATCTCAAACTCCACGAACATAAATGACATGGCTACGACTGACATGCCAATCAGGAGGAGACTAAAAAGGAGGTGGATGAGAGATCTCCTCGCCTAAATCAAGGAAGTAAACAATGACCAGGAAGAGGTACTGCTGTGTGTTATCCTTCCTCATGCTTGTAATGCCAATCAATTAATTTACCACAACAAATCTGCTGATTGTCACTATCATGACTGACGCGGATATAGATACATGAAATGAAAAAAAAAAAATCGTTTCTATTCGATTTTCTATTGCACTCGATTGTATTTCAACAAAATACTGACTCGCGTTACAGCTCTATTTAAAAAAAAAAGTACCAATACTGCATAGTAAAATATATCAATAACAAAAATCCACTAAGCTAATTATCATAATTAGAGGTATGATTGTATCTATT